TTCCAAAGACTCATTTATTTTAACCAAAGCTTGTGTTACAGGATCTGATGACATTATTGTTCTTGTCTGACCAGTTGCAGCTGGTGCCACTGGGATGCCTGGGACTGAAACTCTTCGCTGTGAAGATTTTACTTTGTATTGTCTCCCAGACCTGGTTGTTGTCTCTTCTGGTGCACCACTCATGCCTAGCCAAGGTCACTCTCACAGCTGTTAGTTATTTTTCAAGGGAAATTTCCACTGCCTTAGTAGTTACAATCCAATTTGCAACAATTCTCAAATTGCCCTCTAGGGGAAGAAAGTTTCCAAAACTAAACAAAATGTCTTACAACCAAAAGTTCCCAGAGGTTTCCCAGTAGTCAATTGTAACAGTTCTTATATTTTCAGAGTTCAACAAACCTGTAATTTAGTATCTCTCTTGAGCTGAGTAGTTTAAAACAATGTAACAATCCAAGTGACAGTTCACTGACAGTTCACTGCACGGGTAAATTACCTTCACTCTGACACCTACTTCCATTGAAACCACTTCCTCGCAGGAAAGTGGAAAGTGAAGTCTTTGCAAGATCGGGGCCTTCAGGTGAAATAAATAAGGAGTCAAGAGCAAGGCATCAGTTCTAGAAAGGTTCTGCGTGAAATCCAATCTAGATTTTGTAAAAATCTATGAATTGCATGACCTATATATAAGCACAGGGGTGTTGAATAAAATACTGTGGGGACCAAAGGGGGATGAACTGCCCCAGAAGGAGCACGACGTGTCCCCCAGTAAAGGTACTATCCCACCCCTAACACCCCATACATCCAGCCCCTGGTACTTCCAGGTAAGCCTGGAGAAGATCACTGTATGAAGCACAAGAAAGCGGCTGCCCGTCAGTGTCAACTGCACTTAAATGGACTCGATATAAGGCTGCTTCTGATAACCCTATGTTCCTGGGCATCCGTGTCGTAACTGAGATCTAAGCAACTCCTCCAGCAAGCAGGGTCTTGCTAGAGCAGCTTAGGGAGAAGGGCTTAGGGACAGCAAAGGAGTCCAGCACCAGTAAGCTTGTCCATGTGATTCCTGCATTCCTGGGGGTTAGACTAATCATGGGTCGGCAAACTAAGGTCCGCGGGCTGGATCAGGCCCAACTGCCTACTGGATCCGGCCCGTGGACGGTCCGAGAATCGCCATGTGGATAGCCAGTGTGTGCGTTCTTTCCCTCTCCCTCACACGGTGGTGGCGCCTCCTCCCTCCCTCCTCCTGGCTTCTCCCCGCCCTGCCTAGAGGAGGAAGAGGGCTGGGCTTTGTTGGTGCCAGCAGCAGCAGCCACAGCGCTCGAGCAGCTGCCATTTTAAGCAGCCCCTCTCCAGAGCCCTTTCGTGTGCCGCTCATCGTTCCCCTGTCGCCGCCGCCGCCAGCCCCTGCCGCTCGCAAGACACAGGTAAGCAGCCACCGGGGCTCGTGGTGCTCTTGCACCTCCCCCCCAAAAAATATAGTCGGGCCCCCACAAGGTCTGAGGGACAGTGGACCGGCCCCCTGCTGAAAAAGTTTGCTGACCCCTGAACTAGATGATCCATGGGGTGCCTTCCAACTCTACGATTCTCTAATTCAACTGGACCAGAGACCACATCCTTGTTTGCACTGCAACCACACTGCAAGCACAACACACCGGTATTAACTAACACAAAAGCGGAAGCTCCAAGACTCGCCAAAAGCTAGCTTAGAGGAGAGGTTTACTGGCTTCAAATTCTCAACAAATGAAACTGATTTGTAAAAATGTTACATGGGGAAAAAATTACGAGAGAGAGACATTGCACACACTTTTGTAAATCAAGAAAATATTTAATAAAAACAAACAAACAAAAAATTATTACAGCAAACCCCATTTGCAAGGATCCAAAGGATGGAACTCCCAGTGTCCTGCAACCAATAATAATAAGAAAAGCTGCCCCAAATTTAAATAATTCAAGTTGTAAATCTTAGCAACTGGTTTTCCAACCATGCCAGTTTTGGGGAAAGAGAACTTGAAGCAGCTGCATGTACTGTTCTCACAATGAGCAGAGTGACTATAATTTATGGGAGGGGGTGAGAGTCCCTGAAGGTCACCTGCCCCATGACACACTCCTATATAAACTGAAGGTGTTTTACAGTAACATTCACTAGATGTTAGTGGTGCAGGAAATCATATAAATGCCATATGCCCTCTATTTTTTTTTTACTTTCCTTGCAAGCATCTTTCAGCAGCTTATGACTCAGCTGAACAGCATGTTGTCCTGAGGTGCTCAGCTGGTTTTAAGGGAAGCATAGTTCCTATGTCCTTCAAATGTCCCAGATTTTATTGCTCCACTTTCCTTCGGACCACATCAGCGAGGCCAAGGGGATTCTGTTATCTGGGCAGCCCAGGGCCTACACACACACTGCCCAGGCTTGAGCCCTGGGGAGGTCACTGTGCTGCCGCCAACACAGTGGTTTGACTTCACCCCCAGAGGTGAACTCCATTAATAATAATAATAATAATAATTTTTATTTATACCCCGCCCTCCCTGGCCAGAGCCGGGCTCAGGGCAGCTAACACCAGTAAAATTACAAAAAATAAAAAATAAACCAATTTAAAATACCGGTTAAAATATAATTTAAAATGCAGCCTCATTTTAATAGCAGCCCATAGATCAAAACCACAAGGGGAGGGAAAACATAAGGGTCAGCCTGAGTCCAAACCAAAGGCCAGGCGGAACAGCTCTGTCTTGCAGGCCCTGCGAAAAGATGTCAAGTCCCGCAGGGCCCTAGTCTCTTGTGACAGAGCGTTCCACCAAGTCGGGGCCATTACTGAAAAGGCCTGGCCCTAGCTGAGACCAATCTAACCACCTTGTGTCTTGGGACCTCCAAAGTGTTGTCATTTGGGGACCTTAAGGTCCTCCGTGGGGCATACCATGAGAGGCGGACCCGTAGGTACGTGGGTCCATTGTCTCTTGAGGCAGATGGATGTCAACAACAGTGCTTGAATCCCAAAGTACCATTTAGTGAAGGGATGCATTCACTTAGGGGGTTAGTACCTTCGATGCCGCCCACCCAGGGAGGTGTAGCATGGGGGAGCTGGCGGGGGTCGCGACCCTGGGCACACAATTTTGAGGGGGCACAAACCATGCCCCCCCAGCAAGTGCTGGTGTCTGTGGGAATCCTTGTCCTGTAAAGGTTCCATCTCTGGCTCCCTGTTCTTCCCTGTCTGCCTTTGGGGGTCCCGGGCCCCAGTGGCGTAGCATGGGTTGTCAGCACCCGGGGCAAGGCAAGTAATTTGCGCCCCCTAACCTGTGGATTTTAGTAGGGGCAGAGAGCTGTGAGTGCGAGCGCACCCCCCCCAGATGTTGCGCCCGGCCCCCCCTGCACCCCCCATGCTACGCCACTGCCGGGCCCTAAAACCCAGCCTGGCCTTGCTGCTGTGTCCCCAGCCTCCTCGCTGAATGGCCACCTGGCTGGTAGTGGGATTTGCAGAGCAGCCTTGCTCGGCTCTGGTGGGTGGTCACTTCGGCAGCATCAGAGGTGAGGACTGTGGTGGCACTGCGGGCTCCGTTCATCCTCTGTACCCTGCCCGGCGTGTGTGCCCCGGGCACCAGCAAACCACGCTATGCCACTGCCCTGAGCCAGTCTCTGTGTAAGGAAGCACCATCATCAAACACCCACATCATGCACTTAAAACAACTCTTATGCCACTTTAACAGTCCTGGCTCCTCCTCTCCCCGCCAAGTATGCTTTGTTAAGGGTTCTGGGAGTTGTAGTTGAGCGGTCAAACAACTCTTAGCACCCTGAACAAACCAAGGTTCCCAGGATTCTCTGGAGGAAGAGACTATCCAGATTGTTCAATTGGTACAAGAGCACACTGAAAATATATGGTGTGGATGTGACCAAAGATAATTACGTTTGCATTGTTTTGTTTTTGCATGGTGCACAGCAGAAGAACCATTCTTTCCAGGACCCTTGCTATTGCGGAGGGAGGTCAGAGTGCACGCCTTTGCCTCTTCAAATGGATTAGAAACCAACTCATTTTGGGGGATGAGGGCAGAATGGCAAATGAATTAAGGATGTGATCTCAGACACACTTAGCTAGGCTGTAAGCCTGACTGAACACCCTGGGCTTTTGAAGAAAAACGAATAGGAGGGTTGCTCTGTGTACAGCTAAAGCCTCTCCTGGTATGTCGCACGGAGGACCTTAAGGTCCAAAAATGACAACATTTTGGAGGTCCTAATCTAAGGTGGTGAGATTGGTCTCAACTAGGGCCAGGGCCTTTTCAGTACTGGCCCCGACTTGGTGGAACTCTCTGTCACAAGAGACCAGGGCCCTGCGGGACTTGACATCTTTCTGCAGGGCCTGCAAGACAGAGCTGTTCCGCCTGGCCTTTGTCTAAGGCACAGTCTGACTCTTATGCTGCCCTCCCCTTATGGTCTTGATCTATCGGCTGCTTTTAAAATGAGGCTGCATTCTAAATTGTATTTTATTTTTTGTATTTTAAATTGGTCCCCCCCCCCCCTTATGTTTTTATTGTAATTTTACTGGTGCTAGCCGCCCTGAGCCCGGCTCTGGCCGGGGTGGGCGGGGTATAAATAAAATGTATTATTATTTTTATTATTATTATTAACAACTGTAGACCTCTTCCCTGCCCATGAGATTCCATGCCGTGTCTGCCTCATGCAATGTAAGCTCCTATTTTGATCCCGGCTGAGCTGCTGCGCTTCACTAACTGAAAAGGAAGGTCATTTCCACAATATATGCACAGAACAGCAGATCCGGAGGCCCTATGGGAGACCAGATGCAAACACAGAGATTCGGCACATGTCCAAGGCTCCCTGTTTACCAGAAATAATTCTGGCTCAACTCGATGGACACTACAGCTGCCCCCAACATTGCAATGAGTCTGCGCTGGCCAGAGGCTGTGCCTGTGCCTTGTTGCACCTGCAGGGTTTTAGAACTGCGGAGCTGGAAGGGACACCGAGGGTCATCCAGTCCAACCCGCTGCAAGCAGGAATATGCAGCTGTTCCATACAGGAATCGAACCTGCAACCTTGGCGTTAATAGCACTATGCTCTAACCAACTGAGCTATCATCCTGCAGGATGAAGCTGGTATCCGTTTTACCTGGCCAACTCATCTGGTTGCTTCTGAGTAACAAGATCTTCCTATTACAGTGGTACCTCGGGTTAAGTACTTAATTCGTTCCGGAGGTCTGTTCTTAACCTGAAACTGTTCTTAACCTGAGGTACCACTTTAGCTAATGGGGCCTCCTGCTGCTGCCACGCTGCCGGAGCACGATTTCTGTTCTCATCCTGAAGCAAAGTTCTTAACCTGAAGCACTATTTCTGGGTTAGTGGAGTCTGTAACCTGAAGCGTATGTAACCTGAAGCGTATGTAACCCGAGGTACCACTGTACTAAACAAGGTCTGCCAATGAAGCACCGATGTTCTTGCAGATAACCTGAATGGCATTGAGTTCTTGGATTAACCAATTAATACATGTTCATATTGCAAGGCTTTTGTTTAGAATCCTGGAACGAAGGAGACTCTTGCCACCCCCTTGGTGCAGAAGATGATAATTCTGCCTATACCCACTTTTCATGAAATCGAGCCTTCTGCCAATGCTTTATCTTTGCAACTTTAACCAGCTGAGAGAACAGGAACTAGCAGTATTTTGGGGTGCTTGTTTTGAAAGCCAGGCAGTATTCCTGATTAAACACACCAGCTTTTAAATCCAGGTGAAGCTGGGGGCGGGATGTGCATTCCTCCTTTTGCAAAATCAGCAGCGCCAAACACCCTTTTGCAACAAGGAGGCGGTGTGGCTTGAAATATTGATTTTTATTTGTCTCAGTGCTCCACATTCCCTGTTCTCATTAAAAAACAACACATACTGAAAGGCTGTTTCACACCGTTAGTGACATTTATAATTAAGCTGACATAGCCGCTTTCCCCCTTTAAATGAATTGGAAGATTTAACCCATTAAACCACACAGCTTAAAGCTTGCATCCTTAGATTTAATATTTAATAGGTCTGCATGTAGCATAACAGGCAAGTCCCACCATCTACCTTAGACGCACCGAGGACAGGAGCTCCCCCGCCCCAATTTAAATCCATCCATAGGCACATCGGAGCCCCCAAGGCAGCCACACGGGAAGAAAATCCTATAATACGTAAATACACACAAATGTTGTGGCTTAAAACGCGTGAGCCCACCCACGATTCATTCATTCCGTTCCTTGATTTCTACAGAACTGCATCAAATATTTCAATCTGCAAAATTTTCCAAGCAGACATCTAGGAGACCAAGCGCGCGCGCACGCGCGTAAAATACTGTTAACACGGTTAACGTGGGTGGGAAGCAAAGAGGCGCAGTGCCGCGCTACTCCTGGAAATAAAATGCTTTTCCAGCTCCGTCTGTGTTGAAACCCAGCCAGCCAGCCAGCCACCCAGACAGACACCCATTGCGAAGGAGAACCGATGGGGCCGGGAAGGGCGCGTTCCTCTTTTTGCAGGTGGATTTCTCCCCTTCAGAACCGCTTCCTCCCTTCCCTTTAAAACCCCACATTAAAGAGCCAAGCGCGTCTTGCTTTGAGCGCACAGGTGGAAGGAAAGTTTCCTAGAAGCTGAAGGCAGAAAGGAAGGGAGGCAAAGAGCGAGGAGGCACACAATGAATTTCCACTCCCCTCCGCCTGCATGCGCGCGTGGGTGTACAGATGTCTGGAGATGCGCACTGTACTTACCCCTTTGTTACCATGAGCATAGCGCAGCTTCTTCGGCTCTTTGCAGCCTCACCGCTCCTGGTGCAGCAAAATGGGATTACAGCCTAACCTTTCATCTGGAAGCGATTCCTTTAGGGCTCCTCTGAAAAGTTCACAGCGGGGCGAAAAGCGTCCCTAGTCGGGGCAACCTTTCCCCCCCAAAGGCAAAAGGGCGCACCACCGCCAACGCCTTTCAAAATGTTGCATTTTTTTAGGAAGTCTGCAATGGGGGGGGGGGGGGAGGAAGCCACATGGCAAATTTATTTAGGGAGCTGGACAGAAGCACCTGATTGCACCTGTTTTGTTATTATTAATAGAGTACCTAACATTTGCTCTGCGCTGCAGAGAGGCGAAAGGACAATGCAGCCATTGTCCGCAACCTCACTAAAGGAATCGGGGATGGGGAGGGAAGAGGAAAGCAAGCAAAACTTCAGGTGTTGATTCTTTAAGTTGCAAAAACTCAGCACTATTGTTGGGGAAAGTTAAAAGGAGTTCCTAGATGGAAGGTATCTCTCACAGAAACCCAAAAGGATGCAGGCTCCAAGTGAAAAAATAGGCCTTTATCGAAATACAAATGCACATAGGGGCAGCCTCAAAAGTTAGCATTGTGGTGAACCATATCCAATGCAATGCTTTGTATCCATTCCAAGATTACACATGTGATTTCTATTGATCACTCAAAGCATCACAGCAATCTTAGTTGTGGCAACCCAAACTATACCAATCAAAATCATTTAGCTCAGCCCTCGTAGTATCATGTGATTACATATACAGTACTCATTTTTCAGTATCTTCCTTTCTTAAGGCTTTGACTAATTTACCTATTCATTTAATGTCTCTCAACACCCTCTTTCATCCATCTACAAAACAATTCAAGATTAAGCAAAATTGCCACGCTTAGCCAATTCTCTTTTCATGTATACAGTGGTCACCGTGGACTCTTGACAGTTCGTTCTCTTGCTATATACAATACTGTACCTAAAACTCATTTTGTACCATAAAAGGTAGGCCAGCACAGGCTTTTCACCTAGGCCGTAGGCTCAGAGGAAAATGGAATCATCGAAATGATACAGTTTTTATGAAATTACTATTTTTGCCATCAGTATCAACTCACCTGCGCCTCTTGCTAAGTACACAGTGCACACAAACCTGCAGCCCTTACAGTCTTCTGATTGATGGGATGAGAACCCAGGGGAAACTAGAAATGATGCATTTTGGTGGGGGCAGGCTGCTATATATAGCTGCTCCTTTTCTGGCCAACGGATGGGGCTGGAATACTGGAACCATCAAGGATATGCCATCTCACCTGCCTTACCTCACCTCCCTGCCTCGGGCCGTAAAGGTAAAGGTAAAGGGACCCCTGACCATTAGGTCCAGTCGTGACCGACTCTGGGGTTGTGGCGCTCATCTCGCTTTATTGGCCGAGGGAGCCGGCGTACAGCTTCCGGGTCATGTGGCCAGCATGACTAAGCCGCTTCTGGTGAACCAGAGCAGCGCATGGAAACACCGTTTACCCTCCCGCTGGAGCGGTACCTATTTATCTACTTGAACTTTGCTGTGCTTTCGAACTGCTAGGTTGGCAGGAGCAGGGACCGAGCAACTGGAACTCACCCCGTCGCGGGGATTCGAACCGCTGACCTTCTGATCAGCAAGTCCTAGGCCCTGTGGTTTAACCCACAGCGCCACCCGCGTCCCTTGCCTGGGGCCTTATTAGGTGCTTAATTAGATGCTTAATTATTATTGGGTTTCTTTCTCTCTTTACAAAAAAGCCAATGTTTGTTGATTTATTATTATTTATTAAATTTCTATACCATCCCTTCATCCAAGGATCACGGGGTGGTTTTATACTGTAAACACAAAAATACATACCATAGTAACAAACAAAAAACATTAATACCCCCACACAGTATTATCATTATTTTAATTATGTTGAGTATCATAAACATATGTACAAACACATAACAATACAGACAATAAGGGAACTATATGTGGAACATATTCAGTATGTGTATATACAAATAAACAAATTACAGAGATGCAGATAGGGTTACATATGCTTCAGGTTACAGACTCCGCTAACCCAGAAATAGTACCTTGGGTTAAGAACTTTGCTTCAGGATGAGAACAGAAATCATGCGGCAGCAGCAGCGGGAGGCCCCATTAGCTAAAGTGGTGCTTCAGGTTAAGAACAGTTTCAGGTTACGAACGGACCTCCGGAACGAATTAAGTCCATAACCAGAGGTACCACTGTAAAAGTTTGTAAATATCAGTGGTTCTTTGTAGCACACGTTTTTCATTCCAAGTTGCGAGCTGCCTTGGATTCTGCACTGGGAGAAAGGAAGGGTATAAAATAAATAAATAAATTCACAAAGGTGAAGGTAAAACCAGCGCAGTGAGAATTGATTATTTAACTTCTATACCTGTTAAGAGTATTAAAAGTATCTTTAAGCGGCGTGCAACAAACTGAAGCAAGAACAGGCAATCAAAATGTCACAGAAACGCAGAGTTACATATAAAAACGTTACATTAGTACAAATTACCAATATATAAAAAAATTAATAGCAATGCCCTGCAGTGATGGAACGCTGACAGTTGGGAGAAGGCGAGACGAAATGGAGAATATGCAGCAGTTGGTTGTTTTATGCTCTGCCCGTGACATCATTTTGCATCCACTCCCATGTCTGCAACATACTGTTGTGCGGGCATGCAGAGCAGCTGTTAATCTTTTCAGTTTTTTCTCTAGATTCCCTGGTCACAAATGATATCCTGCCCAGGCACTGGCTTCCTCTGGCAAGGTTTCCCTGACCTCTGCTTTCTGTTTTCATGCAGTTATGGCGCTAACAAGGCGCTGGCTGTTCTAGGGCAAGAGTGGCAGTCTGTGTGAATTAAAGGGTACATGGTTAGGCTCCAAACGCAACCCCACATTCAGACCTCCTTTCCAAAGGATGCTTGTTGAGTTGAAGCATTAATAGTGCAATCCTGAACAAGTCCTGCTGAATTCAGTATCTAAGCATTTAAAGTATTTCCATCTACATGTAAGATGGAAGGTTTTCTCTCTCCTCAGGGCCCTTTAGAGGTCTCCATGGGTCACAGCAGCAGGGAACAAAATTCTCTTATTTCATGACTAAATAAGGGGTTGGAGGGGGAGAGGAAAGGCATAAAAAAGTGAAAAAATGCAGATTTTAATTTATATGTGTCGTGCAAACTTCGAAATAGTTACTGTAAATTAAATGCATCCGTTATCTTCCCCTGAGAAATCAGCATTTTAATATCCTTTCCGCATATTGCTTTAAGAATTCTAAGGTCTCAAACACAGATTAAATATTTTTACATCAATTCTGAGGGTGGGGATTTTTCCAGTATCGGGTCCAATCTTTTCTTGGTAGTAACTTATAGATTCCTTATGCAAAATATTTTAAATATTCGGGACAGCTTCTATTATTATTAGCAGAAGTAGTAGTATTAAATGCATAATTATTTAGGCTGTTTGCAGAACCAAAACAAACAGCATTCTATATATACAAATCCCCGCTCCGCTAGTTTTCTATTTCACTAAGAATTATCTTTTTTTAAAAAAAGGAGTCATTTTTTTAAAAAACCAAACCCGTAAATAAATCTATACCCCCCCTTCCTCTGAAGTGGTACAGCCGAGCCCACCTCAACACCCCCCTCCTCCTCTCCACTCAGTGGACTCTACCACCTCCGTTCTAATCGCCTGTAACGCGACGAACAACCTTGCGGCTGCTTTCGTCACATGACTCCGAGTGAGTCAGCACAGCCTGGGCCACGTGAGCAAGCGGGGGGGGGAGAGTGCGCGGTGGTGCGAGCCAGCAGCTGCGACGTGCGCAGGCGCAACGCGCGTGCGTGCGCCGGCGCGTTTGCAGGCGTAGCCTCGGCTTCCGACAACAACAACATTAGCTCACCGGGTCACGTGGCGGCGGAGGAAGGGAGGCGGGGCGACGCCGGCGGTTGGGCCGTGCGCGGTGACGCAGGCGCGCACGCTCTCCTCGCGCCAGCTTCTCCTCCTCCTCCTCGGCGGCGGCGTCTGGTCTCCCCGTCAGTGTGAGGAGAAGTCGGCGGAAGGCGAGTCACTCCAACCTCCGCTGTCGTCGTCGTCTCCGTCTCCTTCCCTCAGGCGGCCATGGCGATGGATACGAGCGGCAAAGAGAAGGAGGCGCTGCAGCTGCTGGCCGAGGCGGACAAGAAAGTGCGCGGCTCCCAAGGCTTCTTCTCGGGGCTGTTCGGGTGAGGCCCTCGAGCAGGACGAGGCGGCGAGGGAGAGGCGGGCCCGGTGGCGGGGGCGGGGGGGGAGAGAAAGTGCGGGGCGTTGGGTCATGTGGGAATGCGGGAAGTGCGCGCGCGCGCGGTGTGCGTGGGGGTGTCCCGGAGGGGGAGGGAGCAGAGTCAGGGTCGTAATAATAATTGTAATAATTAATAAGGGGTGACATGTGTCCTCTTTTCCCAGGACTTCTTCTTTTTTCAGGGGTAAAATTTATTTAAAAAAACAAAAACAACTGGCCAAAATGTCTCTGGCTCTACTTTCTGGATATCATCATCAATCTTTATTACAAATCAATACAAAGCAATACACAATTCATACAGCCTGCCTCCAGGTTAAACAAGCATTTTGTTCAAAATATAGGGATCATTGGTTCTTGCAACCACCAATAAAAACTTTGCCACTGCTAATGTTCTAGCGTTTGTCTGGTCTTCCAATAGGAACCTGACATAGTGAGCCTCTGATTTTCCCGGGAAAGGTACTAGCTAATATTTTGCACAGTGCAACAAAATATGTTTTATGGAGTTTCTGGATATAGACGTAAGTGGTGGCTGAAGACTTGCTTTCCCCCATCTCTCCCCGCCCCCCATTGCAGCTTCTATAGCCTACATATAGTAGGGGGGTATTTAAAGTGAGAGCTGTCAGAACGTCCTCCTTCCCCTCCCTTCAAAATATGGCAGCCCTATTTATGTGACTGGGTTGGTCCCAGCCACTCTGGGCGGTTTCCCAACAAAAAGTAGCAATAGCACAGTACAACATCGCACACTAAAAAAACCTCCCTTGACAGGTTAATGGATTTCTGGTGGGGTTGATAAATCTCTGGTGTGTAGGTGCTTGTGTTTATGGGGATTGGAGTTGTGGTAATAAACTCTGGCGGCTGGTGCCCTTTGGAACTGGTAGGGCGGAAGGCTGGAGGACCAACAGAAGGTGGAGCCAGAGCCTATGGCAGGCAGAACCGCTGCCATGTACTGTAAGAAAGAAGGCAGCCGGGTGGGGGCTGATTCGGAGCAATGTTAAAAACTCAGATAAGCTAGGCACCAAATGGCTCCTTAAACTAGGGTTACCGTCACCAAAACAGAATGCCTAACTGCCATTTTTGGGCCAGATGGCTTGAAAGTCACGTTTTTCAATACGGCTTTTTGGTTCTTGTTCATTTTGATTATGCAGATAAAATTCTACAGGATGTGTTGCTACTGTTTGAAAGCAGTAAAGATCCAAACATCCCCAGGCATGCACCTCCAGATGGGCATCTTCACTTAGGCTTAAGTGGTCAATTCGTAAAGTGGGCGAACACCAGGTGGGCAGGGTTGGTGGGACAGTGTTTTGCTCTCCCTAAAACCAGCCACCTCTAGTAATGAGACTCTGGGGCATTGGGTCATGTGGAAATGCAGGAAGCACACACATGGTTGTGTGGGGATATATTGTGAGGGGTGTCACTGTGGGAAAGTGGCAATGAAGTGTAAAGACAGTGGGAGGGAATGAGTGACGGGCTTGACAGATCATAGAATCGTAAAGTTTGGAGAGACACCAAGGGTCATCTAGCCCTTAGAAGACTTCTGAAGGCAGCGCTATATAAGGGAGTTTTTAACGTTTGATGTTTTATTGCGTTTTTATATTTTGCTGGAAGCTGCCCCAAGTGGCTGGGGCAACCCAGTCAGATGGGCGGTATATAAATAATAATATTTTTGTTATTTCCCCAACTTGGGGCTTGAACCCACATGTTCTACTGACTGAGTTATCCTAGCTCTTTGGTGGGAGTGATGAATTGCCAGTGTGTGTGAGCAGGAGATAATATACTAGTGGCTGGTGTCTATTGAGATTGGTAGGGCAGAAGAAAGGAGAATCAACAGTAATTGCAGCCAGCGGCAGACAGTGCCATCCCCTAACTAAGAAGGCAGCCAGGTGGGAGCTAGTTTGCTTAGGTTGTCATTTGCCCAAAATGGACTAGCTCCCACTGGTAATGAGGGGGACTCTTTGTCGAAGGTGAGAAGGAAATAAGAGCTCCATGGTGGAGTCTCTATAAACAAATAGGAATCTGGGAGAGTGGCACTAAGTATGGATAATAGTGAGTTGGGAAGGTTTATATTGGAAGGTAGGTTAGGATGGATGTTAGCAGTGGGTCTAGCTGTGTGGCTCGTCTGGAAGCAGATCACTGCTGTAGTTGTGACTCAAGAAGGTAGACCTTAAACCACACAAATCTGTGGCTCCTCACAAGCCATTGTTCAGGGTTGTATATCCAGGGGAAGAGGTGAGCCAACATTCAGCAGAAAATCTGAGGAGTTCTGAAACTCTATAGCTTTATTTACAGAAAAATAACATTGGCTAAAGGAGACTAGAATGAGGATGGAAGTAGCTGGAAATGTAGAAACTTAGCTGGTGGGAGGGGCATACTTAAAGAGAGGGATTGGGTGAGATAAACTGAATGGCTTCAAGTTGAAATGGTCAGGGAAGTTCTGGGAAGCAGATTAAATTGGGAGAAGGTGCTAGTAATTCATAGGGGAAGGGCTGCTGACATCTGTGTGAGTTGGAAGATCAGAAAGTTGGTGAAGAGATCAGAAAGTTGGTGAAGAGAAGGGAGAAGAAAATAGGCTATTGTAGGACAGTCTGGTGACAGGAGATCCTGCTAATTGGAGTAATGTGTTGAAGATTGGTTAAGATGCATTGCAGGCAAGTGGACTAGGCCCAGTCGCTGTTTCAGGGCAATGTCATGGGAGCTTTAAGGAAGGAGCTGTTGGGTGAAGCTGAGTCAATGGGAGGTGATTTTCTAATATTACGGAGGGGTAACTTCACTGCAGTGAGCTTAAGTGAATGCTGTTGAAACTGTGGGAATCCTCTGGAGTTTGTTCTTTGAGTGGAGGTTATTGTGGCGATGGAAGAGGCTGTAGCTCCAGCTTTATTTGGGAGCGGGTTGGGTGGGACAGACCAAATTCTAATAATAGTCAAAAAGTGACGGTCTTGTGAGTTAAAGTGCTCTGAATTAAGGCTGTGACCAACTCCACTGACTGTATCTGTGGAAGCCTGCTCAGTCGTGTGGAATAGTTTTAAGATCCAGACCAGTGTATGCGTTGCAGGGTTCCTGTCAGTGCTGTACATGTGTTGCTTATGAATTTGAAACAGTTGTAAACTTTTATATTTGAAGTCATTGATATTCTGTCCTTCCTCCCTTAGGAGATGAGTTCAGACCACAATAAGAACAATAAAATAGACAATGTAAAACAAAGCACCCATTAGAAAGCACCTGAATTAAGGCAACTCCATTCACCTGATTTTCATCATGTGGGCCTTGCTTCCTTTCTTCGTGGACATTAATCCTGTATACTTCCCACTTTTAATTACATTAGGAGGGTGGTTGTTTCCTCCCAATACTTTGGTAACTAGAGACCTGGCTGATGACAGAAGATGCTCGTATGCATAACCTCCATAGAAGAAACTGCCTAAACCATAGTCTAATGTGTGATGCAATGTAGCCTAAATGTTGCTGCACCATAAAAATAAAAGTCCTAATACTTTCACTTTCTCTTCTGCTTTCCCCGCTCCTCACTGCTGTGAGTTTGAATATGGAATAACAGTCCCAATCATTTCTTATTTTTCCTAATTTCCGCCTTCACAGCTTTTTTTGCTGAACCCAGGTGAGATAACTGGGATTTGGGATAACACTGCTGGTGGGAGCTGCTACCTTGGCAGGAGGCAGATGAGTTTATTGAAGCCCCTGTGCTTTGGCTTAGTTTCTGTTAACTGTTGTAGTTTTCCAGGCTGCAAGACAGAAGAGTGGTTAAGGCGCAAGTATATTTCTCAGAAGACGGCAAGCTGCTTTGTGCTTAAGAGGAGGGGTTGTGCAAGACTAATGCAGTGTTGTGCAGGGATTAAGGATCTGTACAGGTAATGAATAGTGACTGGCAAATCTGTCAGAGCTTTTGTCATCCTGGGAAGCTTTGTTAGTTTCCCTGAGACTAATCACCCTGATTCTATCTGTGCTTTTTCTGAATGTGTGCTAGTACTGCTAAGTAGCTGAGATGATATTCTTGCACACACCAGTGCTTATTTAACAAAATGGAGACGCTTCTGAATGAGCCTGCAATAAGAGCAGCCTACACCTACTTTGCTAGCAGCATTTCGGAGACAGTGCTGTTTGAAAGGGTAAAAGGCTTTAGGAGGTGGAAGCAAAAATGTTGTAAGGCATGGTTTACATAAAGTTGGACCTTCTCTTCTCCTCTCCCTAGGAAGAGGGAGGATATGATCATGAACAAGAACAGAGCATGGCTGTCTGCCTAACTTGGAACACTGCAGTTGGCTGAAAATAGTTGTTGAGACTGGCATGAAGTAAAAAATAATTTTAAAACCTGGGACTTGGTTCCAGGCTGACTGGGGAGACTGAAGCGTGTGACGTGATGGATGTCTTCCACCACCCACAGACGAGTAGCATTGTCTGGGTTAGGCATACCCATTAGTCACACACCTACAATTTTAATAACAGTGTCAAGCCTTGAGAAAAAGGGGGAATGGTGGTAAAGGGAGATCTTGGATAAGCTGTACGTGGCAGCAGGCTAGCAGTTAGGGGCACAACAGGATACAAAACCTGCCCTTTTTTATATGTCCGTCACTATCTGCAGTCCCATATTTATTGGAGTGAAATGGTAGAAACTGCTAATAACCACCTCCTCCCTCCAAACTTGTATGCTCCAAAAAGCTGAAGGACATCAGAATTTCACAAGATGGATTGGATGTCCCTGAGCTGAATGAACCCCCAGGAGTGATGAGGTCCATAAATGTTAAGGATGTAAGAAACAAACAGGCTGGCTTCTGATGCACAGACCTACCTTGAGGAATCTTGTATTTGCCTAAAATAAAAACTTTGCTAAGCCTTTCAGTTCCGAATTTTGTGAAGTAAATCCTTGCTTTGTTTTATTTATTTATTTAAAATACTGATATATTGCAATGAACTAAAACGTCATTAAAACAGCATTCCAATTAAGATTAAAAGGTCAGTAATATTTGGTAATACTTAAAAACATAGCAAAACCAGCATCACTTTAAAACAGACTGTATCATGTCCCTGATAGAATATGCCTTCCCTCAGAGAAAAGGATCTGTTTTCTTTAACTGTCAAATTCAAGAGGACCCTTCTGCTTTCTTATTGCATAATATGTAGTTTGGGATGAATTAAATGATTATTTGAAGTGGAAAAGTACAGCAGCAAGAGATGCAGCATTTTCTTAGAAATGGGAAGTTTACTTAAATGTCTGGGGTAGCACCTTCTGTATTTTCTAGCTGGCAAATAAGAGTGCATTTTGCTTTGATATGGATGTGTGTAATGGAAGGGTTAGTTGCCCTTCAGTTATTTGTGGTAACAATAATGGTGTTTGGGGGAAATGTTTTTGCTCCTTTCCTCTTGAAAAGAATGCTTTGATGGAGGCTGACGTAGCTGGTGGCTGTTGCATTATAACCTGTGGGCTAAGAAGGAGGAGAACTGGTCTGTGCTTGCAGTTCTTCCGGCTGTGCATCTGTTTTTTTCCTCTTGGCAATATCTGTTATTGAAGCAGCCATCGCCACTGCTGCCTAGTCAGGGGCAGGCAAGGAAAGGGAGGGCACATGACAGAACTGGTGACTCAAGGCCAGCTTCCTCTTGCACATAATACACATCTGGGCCTTGAGATGCAAGGAGCTGAAGTAGATGATGAATTCTCAGAGAGTATGGAAAAAAAAAAAGAGCTTGGTGTATCAGGGACTGGTGATTTTCTGTGGCGTGGGAGGAAAACAGTCACTTCTAGGAAGGCTGGCGAGATGAAGTGGGAAGACAGAGGGGAGATGACAAAACAGGGTGCTAAAAATGAAAAGGCAGTTTGTTTCTGCACCTGGAATTCTTCCTTTGCAAGCCACAAAGGTTATGTAATATTCATAGGTAAAAAGTATTTGTGTGCTTGTCTTGGGGGATCAATACTCTCACTGTTATGGAATAGATTCTTAGATCAGATTAGGGCTCAGCGACTAGAAGTAAACTTCATTGAACTCAGAAGGGCTTTGCTTCTGAAAGAACATGCCTTCGTCAATCTGCAAGTGTCATAGATGCCATTTATATGTCTTTCAAGTTCTGGGAATTGCAGTGCTCAGAAAGAGGAGAGTGAGATATTAGTCAGTGTCTTGACAAACCTTCAATTCCTGGGTTGAGGGCTATGATTGCTAAACTGCTTGAGGTTTGTGAAGTGTATGGAGCCCTGTTGTAATATGGATCTCGAGTTATGGGTGTGCTTTTCCCCAGAGGCTGAGATTGAGGTCAAATATATGAGAATGTCTCTGTTGGCTTTTAAAGGATTTAAGAATACATACCTCATTAAATGCTTTTGAGCAGAGGAGATTTCAGCCAGGGTATTCTGTGGATTAAAGTATTCACCGGTGATGCTTTTTAAAAATTCCTTTCAATACTGTAGTGTTCTCTCTTTGTATATTTTGTGTGTGTGAAAGAGAGAGTGCACATTTAGGATGGATTTTTATAAACTGGGTTGCCGGTGATAATTGTCCCCCTCTAGTACCTGACATACAAATCCCCTTCCTTAAATTCTTCCAAGAGTTAAAGAGGACTTGGACGAACACAAGGGGTCGTTTTCCTTTGTAGTGGAGTTTGTACTGAGCTTTGGAAAGGACAAACAGAAGTGTCTCATCTCACTTTATGCTGGGAAAATCCTGTCTGGGTGATCCACAAGACTTTGGAGAGAGAGGAATGACATTGACTGCAAGTAATACCTGGCTAGAAACTGAGACCCCTCATCTAGGAAATTAAATTGCTAGGCACTTAATAAAACACTATGCTGCCCAAGACTGAGGAAATGAGCTTGGCACTAGGAACCCAAAATATTTTTATCTATGAAACTATAGAATACCTCCTGGTATAAAATATCAAGGACGTGTACAACAAAATAATACAAGTTCAGTAAAACATAAAACACCATAAAAATACGGAATCATAAAAAATGGCTGTCATGTAGAAAAAGATAGGCTTCCTGTCATGAAAGCTTTCAAGAGTTACCTGAAAATTAGCTGCAAGGATGCCTGCTGAACCTCTGCTGGATGAGTATGTATTACACAGCGTGAAACCAGTGACATTAAATGCTCAACTTCACATTGGAGCCAGATGGGCTTCTGAACTAGAGGGGAGGGGACAACTAACACTGTTTTTCCAAATGATCTTGGTGTTCAAGCTGGAATATAAGGGCGCAGGTGGTCCTTAAGGTACTCTGGACCCAGGTTGTTCAAGGCTTTGTATGTTAATACAATAACCATGAACCTGGCCAAGTAAAATATGTGCAGCTAGTACAGATGTTTTAGCAGAGGTATCACATGTCATCTGCCCCAGTTACGATTGTGATTAGACACCTGCCCTTCACTTTAAGGTCCCAGGGTTGGTAACAACATTAAAAACACTTTAAAACAGCTTACAAGCACAAAAATCTAGCCACTGGAGCTTTTGGATGAAGATCAGCCCCACATAGAGTGCATCATAGTAATCCAGTCTCATTGTTACCAGTGTCTTAGTACGAATAAGCTTTCTGGTTTTTGAACCCAAGTTTTCCTGGGTGGGATCCTGTAACTCTGGTGACTGCTGGGCTTCTGGGAGCCACTTCTGGAAGAGATGTCCAGAGGACTGTACTGTTCCACTGTTTGTTGTGCAATGGCCATATGCCTCCCAGACTAGGAATCTACCTCACAGTCCCAGTGAACTAAACCATAATTGACATCTTGCCTTTGCTTGGAGGCTGTAAGCAAAGCCTGCTTTTCCAGTCCCTGTAGTGTGAAAATCACCCAGACCAGATTCTGTACATTGTTTTGTAGGTGTCTGACGGTTTAACTGTTATGTGTGTTTGGAACATCTGTTAAGATGTGTATTACGTTGTTCTTCTGTGCTCTCTTGCCCTTTACTCTGGGCCTCTTCTCTTTTCATAGCAGAAGAAACCTTGGCCTGATGATGCTTCTCTTTCTAACCACAGGACTCATTTTGCCAAAGCTGAAACATCTGGCAAGGTTTAGCTACTTGCCATCTGCAGTAAATTTTCAGAAGAACCAAATCCTTGGCATTCGGTGAAGACATGGACATGTCTGTTCAATAGAAGAATGTGGTGTCGTGGTGGGCAGGGAATCTTGTTTTGAAGAACGTTGGGGGTTTAGGGCAAATCTGGCATTTTTACGTATGGAAATTTTTGTTTGCCTCTTACCTCTTTGTGGAATATACCTCACAGAGCATCTATTCCTAGGATCAGAAGAAAGTGCAGTGTAAATTGTAGGGCTCAAATGGGCTCTAAGAGTGTGGTTTCTTTCTTCCCTTAATTATCATGATACAGCACATAAGACTGAGGAACCTTGTATTAGGGACATGCAGGTGCTCAGTGAAGACCTTCTTGTTTAGATAGGTTCTTTACCACGCAAGGTGTTTACCTGGTCTGTTATTAATATTCCCGTGTAGTATTGGGAAGTCACTAGTTTTTATTTCTTTGAATTGTATACTTTACGGCGCTTCTCTATGATAGAAATCATAAAAAAGGGAGACGTGAATTATGCATCTCTCAATATCTCTTGTTCCGTGTCCTTATATTCGTGGGTGCAGACCCAGTCTAAAGCTGTGTAGCATTCTTAATGTGGGTAAGGCACCCCCCCCCCCGGAGAGCATGTTCCTTTCCAAGCAGATGGTTCTGTTTGCCAGTGCAGCAAGCTGATTCACTGGTATCTTTTTTTTCCTCTCTAGGGGTGGCTCCTCCAGGGTCGAGGAAGCATGTGATATCTATGCAAGAGCGGCCAATATGTTTAAAATGGCCAAGAACTGGAGTGGTACGTAACATTATCTCTCACCCTTTGCTTTTGTTAACCTTGCCTTGCATTCCTCAGAACTGCATACCCCAACTGCTCATTTGGAGAGCCAGTGTGGTGTAGTGGTTAAGAGCAGTAGTCTCGTATTCTGGGGAACCGGGTTCGCTTCCCCGCTCCTCCACATGCAGCTGCTGGGTGACCTTGGGCCAGTCACACTTCTCTGAAGTCTCTCAGCCCCACTCACCTCACAGAGTGTTTGTTGTGGGGGAAGAAGGGAAAGGAGAATGTTAGCCGCTTTGAGACTCCTTAAAGGGAGTGAAAGGCGGGATATCAAATCCAAACTCTTCCTCTTCTTCTTCTGTTTATGAACTCTCTCTCATTGTGATAGAAATGCATAGTCCCTGGGCTAAAAAGCAGAAAACATATGGTCTTCAAAATAATATGGACCTGTAATATAACATACCTATACAGTGGTACCTCGGGTTACAGACACTTCAGGTTACAGACTCCGCTAACCCAGAAATAGTACCTCGGGTTAAGAACTTTGCTTCAGGATGAGAACAGAAATCATGTGGCAGCGGCAGCGGGAGGCCCCATTAGCTAAAGTGGTACCTCAGGTTAAGAACAGTTTCAGGTTAAGAACGGACCTCCAGAATGAATTAAGCTCTTAACCCGAGGTACCACTGTAATATCCCCCAGCAAGTGTGGGGGAAGAGCCTGCTGTCTTGGCCCAGTTTCTTGTGAAACCCTAGACTAAGATTTATGGCATTCTCTCTTAGTAGAGAGGGCCATAGCTCAGTAGTAAAGGACATGCATGGAATTTTAAGCATCTCTGAAGCACTAGAGAGCAGCAGCAGCTGCCAATCAGTGTAGACCACTGGTCTTGAGCTGATGGGTTGGACTGCCTATGTAAGGTAAGAGGCAAATTATCTCTGCCTCTTTTCCTGGATTTGACACGAGACCATCACCGTTTGATAAGGCGGTGGTTGAATGGGTGCTGTAAGATTAAATTAGAGCTCTGCAGGTTCGTGTCAAGTCCTCTTTGTTTTACCTGTATGGACATTTAGCAACACAAGGGTTGCAGGAGTAAGCCTTGACCCCTTCTGCCATCTCTCTCTCTTGCTTTTAACTTGAGGCCTCTTCCGCATCTTCACAGTTCTGGTTTTAGAATTTTGATGTTATGTGCATGGACAAATTCCAGGCCTTGCATACTCACAGGCCCTTTCTCTCTCCACCTAGCTGCAGGGAATGCTTTCTGCCAGGCTGCTCAGTTGCATCTCCAGCTGCAGAACAAGCATGATGCGGCCATGAGCTTTGTGGATGCTGGCAATGCCTTCAAGAAAGCTGATCCTCAAGGTAAGAAAAAAGTGGATTAGGCAAGTTGTACAGCCTCAAAACTGTAGAGGGATTTGCTGCTTGGGCTGGAGCTGGGATGGTAGTCTGTGAGACAAGGCCTATTCATGCCTCCTGAAATATTCTACACACTTGTGAATTTGATGCAGAAAGCACTGTGTTTGCGAAATGTGTTTAAATTGCAGAATTTGGGTCACTATCATGCAGAGTACACCAAGCCTTGGGTGGAACTGGGTGCATTGCACAGTCTGTATCCATATACTTATTCATATTTATGTGTACATATCTCTGGTTGATGAGAAGGGAAGACAGCTGCTGCATTCAGATGTTGACATCTCAGTTTAATAAGATGAGATACACACAAGTCTCTTGCCCGCCCATGCAGCCCTCTTCTCTTTGTAGAGAACCTCAGTGAAGGTTTGGAGTTGGTTTAAGGTCCTGGTTTGTTCTGAATCTCGTAACCATAGTTTACCAGTTCAAATGAAATGGGAAACTGTGGCCAATTAGAGCCACAACATTTCAAGGAAGGAGTTTAAAATTGCTTTATTTTCACGTGTCTCTTTTCATTAAGCCAAGCTACAATCATCTGAACACAGCCATTGTATTGGACTTCTGGACTTGTGGTGCTTAACTGCCAAATGCTAATATGTACATTCTCTCTAAAGCTGCAAGTCACGTAGGTTGCTGAAGGGCAAAAGCTAATGTGCCAGCTGGCTTCCTTGCATTATACACTGAGATGTCCTGCTTTAGCTTGAATCCTCAGTCGCCTGCAGCATTGCATAAGAGCTTCAAGTTGACAGGCTTCCCCCTGGCCAGGCTTGTGCAAGCCTCACAGATACTAAACATGCCGTATCAGTCCATGAGTACATTCAGCCTTAAATGTTCAGCTTCCACCTTTGCAGGAGATCTTTTGTCTCCCTGCACCTGCATATATGCACAACCCTTTTGGTATCAAGGTGCCTCTGAGCCTTGCATAGAGTGCCTGTTCCTCAAATTCACCCACCTGTGTGTTTGTCATTAGTATAGGACTTCAAGGTAGAATCAAGTCCAGATGTCTTTTTTTTAAATCCTCCTTCGAAAGCAGCAGTTATGAGGAGGGGCGTTTTCATGTTATTCTCACTAATTTTTTCTTTCTCTGCGCAACAACTGGGTTATATGGCGCCTTTGCTCCATTGTAGTCTTGAGGCCAAAGGCCTGTTTGGGAAGAGGATCCCCCTTCTGGGATTTCATGTGCATGTCTGCTGGCGACAATTAGCAGAAAAGACAGACAAATGAGGAGGGGAGAGCCCTCTTCTGCAGCTGCCTAGACTCAGGCAGCAATTTCAGGATAAAAGATGATAAAGTAACCTGAGGAGAAAACAAATTTAATCCTCCCCAGGGATTTGCTTAATCTTTTGGAGATTTGCATTCTGATTATCGGCTGCAGTAGCAGAGCTAAAGAGCCACCCTCGTCCTTGTCATTGCGCCTGGCGGAGGCGGAGCAGCCTGGGCGCATGGGATGCCTGAGCTGTTGCACCAGGTCTGTGGGGTGGTTAATGTGATGAAAAGGGATTCCATCTTGGCACCTACATCCTCTTGCTTTGGATCTTCTGCTTTCCATGAACAGTTGATTTCTCAGGGGAGAAGTGCCGAAAGGAGAGGCATTGCATGTGCTCCTGATATAACATGCAGTCTAGATGAGAACTCTGTACACACAACGTAGTCCTCACCCACTCTTCCAAAATTTGCCAAATTAACTTGTGCAGATTTGCACCTCTTGGCTTCACCAGCCTGATTGTGCTTACAAGGGCAGGTTTTGACCATTTAAATCCATCCCGAGGGATTGCTTGTCTGCACACACTCTTGCTTGGACCTTAATGTTTTCTGAGGGCCTACTAGGGTAGCCCCATGCAATAAGGTGTGACAGTTGAGTGAGAAATACTTTTTCAAGGTTGGCACCCTGACACACACTCCCCAGACACTCCTGGCAACTACTTTGATGTCATTTTAACACTCAATAAATATTAACACTGAATAAACACATTTCCTTTTCCCAGGACTCTTTGTTCTATTTCTAATGTAAATTCCTTGCTTCTTTTTAATACCCCTTTTATGCCTGATTGTGATTTTTTTTTTTATTTGTTCTCATTCTCATTTGTCAGCCACCAAAGACTGGATTGCCCATTTATTTTATTTTGGAAACATTAAAATGGTGCTTTTATCCAGATCTGGCTGCTAGGGTGGTGTACATAAATGTCCAAAATACAAACACAAAGTTAAACCAAACATAATAAAATGTGTTGAGGGGGTAGGAGGGAATTCTGTAGTAATCCTGTGCTCACCATTTAAATTTCCATCCAAATCCTTTTCTTCTTGTTTCTGAGCTTTCAAGAGTGGCTTGTTGCTACGCTTGAAACAACTGCCAATTTAAAACAATGAAATTAGAAGCTGCCATTTAGCAAATGGTCGGAGTTCACCGTATCCAATTCTGTGTGTGACCAGGACACATATTAGTTTAAATATATTCAGTACTGAAGTTCTTCAGCTGACTACACAAGGGCAGCATAGCTGCGATAACTTTGATGTTTTGCTGTTTGTTTGTAATGTTTCTGGAAAAGCAGTAAACAATTTATTCTTTTGGGGGGGGGGGAGCGGAACAAGGTCAGCACTGGAATCCACCCTGTTAATCCTGGGACACTGGCTATGTATGTGTTTTGCAGAATGACCAGTTGTAGTATCTTCCTTCTGAGTAGGATGTGGTGACATTCTAATTGTATCCATTCCTACCGGAAGGGAGAATGCAGAACAGAACTCCAAGCGGTAATGATAAACACCCATCAATTCTCCAAATCAGCTTGCTACTGTCTTTCAAGTCCCATAAGATCTATGGGCCTCAGCAGCTTTCCTTGAGTGGCTTTTGATCCCCAGGGTGGGAAGTGTGCTATAAATATACTCACAGCATTGTCCCTTTCATGGAGGATAAAGGAGCAGCATTGGCAGATGGTTTTATTTCCTTAGATTGCTATGTTTAAAATTGCTACCTCTTTCTGTTTTTACAGAGGCCATTAACTGTCTCCTCAGATCTATTGAGATCTACACAGACATGGTAAGCCTGTTTTGATATACGTATTGTGCAATTCAAAAACAAGTTTGTTTTTAAAAATGGAATGTTTTGTGTATGTATATTTGTATGTCTGATTTAAAGAGGAAATGTTAAAACTGCAAAGAGGGGGGGCATGATGTCCAGCAAACTTTCTCTGTGTATGGGAATTGCCCTTCCATGGTGCAAGTAAATATTAGCATCTTGGATGGGGCTTTTGCAGTGCTGTGTTGAAAGGTATCTTGATCTAGCATCGGCTGGCTGAACCAGATGCTTGTGCTGTTTGTCAGGGGATTTGCAGCATGTCTTTTGTAGGATTGTTCTAAGAGGTGGAGGCATGTCCTTGAACTGATAAAATAACCTAGTATGGACAGTACAAAGCAGATTGCTCTGCCGAACAAAACCAAGAAATGCATTGAAGCCGGCAAGCGTAATCTCTAGCACAGACATCCTTAAAAGAAGTTAATTAGTGTATATAAACCTTCACAAAGTGTGTGTATGACACCTGCCCATCCCTCACAATTGTACACTTGTGAGGTGGGGAGTGTGCTTTGATATACCCAACATGTACCTAAAGGCTGTGAATGTGTGTTTTGCAAATGTAGCACAAGGCTGCAGGAAGTCTGGAGCCTCAAGAGAATTGCCAATTTTTAACAAGGTTGAGGACTACTCGCCACTTGAAATTGGAATGTGCGCAAGCACCCAGACATCCTGAAATGGCAGTTCATTTTTCACACCTGTCTTTTTGTCCTCTAGGGCCGTTTCACCATTGCAGCCAAGCACCATATAACGATAGCAGAGATCTATGAGACGGAGCTGGTAGACATTGAAAAGGTATGATGAGAAAGGGACTTCCCCTTGCCCTAACAAATTGCTGGAGAGGTACGTCTTGCTCTGGCATGCCTTGCTCTGCTACCTTAGTATTGCCTTCCCAGAGCAATGTAGACGTTGGAACCATGGTACATTTTGAAGAGTTTTTTTTGATTTTGCTGCTTCTAACATCCAGATTTCAACAAACGCCCCTAACACATGGGATGGATAATTGCCATTCTGTTCTGCTTGTGAGCTCTCTGTCTGTCTACTGGAGGTGGAATATTTGGCTGTTTGCACCTTTGGTCTGAACCCAAATTCATGTGTCCAGTCTAATTTCTTATTCAGTTTCTCTTTGTATTTTCTCCCTTTCAAGGCAATAGCCCATTATGAGCAAGCTGCAGATTACTACAAAGGTGAAGAATCTAATAGGTAATTGAAGAACTCTGGTATTCTTGTACCCTTCTCTGCCCTAGGGTTGTGTTGGGTAGGTGCTTTGGAATGGCTTCTGTTTTTAGGTTTGGGTTTTTAATTTAGCATTTAATTCTATGTAAAGCAGCCTAGGATGTTTCTTGATGGAGGGCAACGTATAAGTTGCCTAAATAAACATGCCCACCACAACCTATGTAAATGTCCCCCAAATTTTTCTTGTATTGAGGGGGCGGAAGGCAGGAGAGTCATTTGCAAGTAGAACCGATCACCTGGTAGAGGGTTAAGGCACCTCCCTCCATCATGTTAGCACCAAGAGGTCAACACAGTAGTCAAAAAATGTGTTGTCCTTGAATGTACACCTTGCCAAGCAATAGAAGCATGGTAAAAGACCAGGGTTTGATTTCTCCCCTGCGGAAGGAACCTTTTTATTTTTAAAAAACACCACCACCCTTGACCCTGGAGACCTCTGTGATTTGGTCTGGTTGTTCTCATCTGGTCCTTCCTGGGGTCATACAGCCTGGAGGGCAGATAGATGGGTGGGTTGCTACTCCTGTCCAGGTGCCTGCAGCTCCTTTTTTTTCTCTCTTCCTGCAGCTCGGCGAACAAGTGTTTGCTGAAAGTGGCTACCTACGCAGCTCAGCTGGAGCAGTACCAGAAAGCTATTGAGATCTACGAGCAGGTATGTTTATGACTTGTCTTCTCTCCCCAGCACAAATCTTTGTTTAAATCAAATTCTTAAGATAAAAGGCGTACAACATAGGAAAATGAAACCGTTGCCAGGACGGTGTACCCCATGTTTTAGTTAAAATAGCATATCTAGACAATACAAATTCTGACCTAAGGAAAGTTGAATATTGATGCGTCCATACTTTCTGCATACCGTCAACTGAATAAACATTGTTTTGCTGACTGTAGGGCAGGTATGTGTAAGATGTGCAGGTACTGAAGCCTTCCAAACTTTGGAAAGCTTACTCAGCTCTTGATTATTGAGATTACAGGGATATCTCTCACCCTTCCAAGCATGTTGTGGCATGAGGGCTAGAAGCTCTCATAAATGAAAGCTAAACCTCCCAAGATACTGATACCTGGAGGAAAACCAGGAACTAGGAAAAATAAATAATGGTTCTAGTGAATAGCATTCTTTACAACTACAAAATACCACCTTCTTCTTAACCTTGGCTGAAAGACTTATCACTGCTTGTTCTGTATATACTATTCCCTCCTGCTGCCCCCTCAAAAAGTTTGCAACTTCCAGAACAATTTTTCTTGCCAATCAGACAAACAACATCTCCTGGAGATCATGTTCAGCACAGTTAGCATCTTGTGTTGCCAGGTGTAGACTATTTGAACACTTCACTGTTGATCATTTGCAGGGAGATTGCTAACAGTGGTTGTCTAATGGAATCAGGGCTATTGTCTTAGCCTGCCTCTTCTCCCATCTGCACCCCTTTCTGTACTTTGACATCCCCACTTCATAGCTATAAGATGAAGCAGTTTACCTTGAAGAAAACCTGCAATTCTCACTCAAATTCTGTGGCATCTTCAGAATTCCTCAACTGAGAAAAAAGGAATCCAGCCACTAATTTATAGCATGCTTCCATTAAAAGAAAATAAGAACATGAAGGGAAGGCTCACTTTTTGAAACCTGCCCCTGTTCATTCTCCCCTCCAATTCATTTGTGGTTAGGGATGAACATACTGTATCTACACAGAACCTATGTGGTCAGAAGGGCCATATTGCTGCTTTGTTCCTACTTAGAGAAGGGTGCCAGTAGGGCATAGGAGCAGTAGGAGTTGTGAGTATTTTTATTATTATTATTATTTCAATTTATATACCACCCTTTATCACAAGATCCCAGGTGTACAACATTAAAAACACATTGCAGAACATCAATGATAAAACATCATAAAAAACATAATGACAGACGTCCTAATAGTGAAATAACCATCATAACAGTCCATTCACCCATACTTTCACAGGCCATAGATTAGTTAATAGCCATAGGCCTAGGTAAAGAGGAATGCTTTTGCCTGGCGCCTAAAGGCATGTAGTGGTGGCACCAGGCAAGCCTTTCTGGGGAGAGCTTTCCACAGATGGGGAGCCACCACAGAAAAGACCCGCTCTCTTGTTCCTTTCAAGGCAACCAAATGCCAGAGTCGCCAGGGCCCCCAAGTTAAACTTGCAGCTTTGCTTGAATTGCTCTTCTTTGGCATCTCCAGGTGGGCACCAGCGCCATGGACAGCCCTCTGCTGAAGTACAGCGCCAAGGAGTACTTCTTCAAGGCAGCACTCTGCCACTTCTGCATTGACATGCTCAACGCCAAGGTCTGGGCAACGGCTTTTTTGTCTTCCTAGAGAGATTCCTAAGCTTTGTGTCTGGTGTTGCCAAGATCCAGCATCCCAAGTGCCTGTCTAGGCTGTTTCCAAACTTTCACCCCACAGACCACTTGAAAATTTATGAGGGTCTTGGTGGGGGCACTTACCGTATTTTTCGCCCTATAGGACGCACTTTTCCCCCTCCAAAAATGAAGGGGAAATGTGTGTGCATCCTATGGGGCGAATGCAGGCTTTCGCTGAAGCCTGGAGAGCGAGTGTGCACCGACCCCTCTCACTCTCCAGGCTTCAGGAAGCTATCCGCAAGCCTTGGGAGCTCGGCGGGAGTTCCCGCCAGGCTCCCAAGGCTTGTGGACAGCAGCCTGCAGCCCGAAACCCGGGGAGCTCTCTGCAGCACACCCCAGGCTTCGGGCAGATCTCCGCAAGCCTTGGGAGCCCGGCGGGAGTTCCTGCCGGGCTCCCTAGGCTTGCGGATAGCAGCCTGTTCTGGGGGCTGGGGTCGGGGGAAGTTCAGGCATCCCCAGCCCCGCGCCTGGGGCGGGGAATAATTTTTTCTTTCTTTATCCCCCCCCCACTAGGTTCGCCCTATGGGCCGGTGCGCCCTATAGGGCGAAAAATACGGTAATTTTCTGACTATTATAGCAATCATAATGTGCTGTGCTAGATGCTGTGAGATTTTTACTTGCCTTTTTACTGCTGCTTTTATTTCTTACATATATTTCATCGTATTGCTGTTTGAATTCAATAGAATTTGAACTGTAATGCAATGACATGCAATATAAGAAATAAAAGAAGCAATAAAAGTACAATTCTAAATCAGTATTTTTAATGCAATGGATGTGCTGGCTCCTGTTTTCAACCATAAATTCAGACATGCCACGGGGTACCTTGGTAAAGCCTGTAGTTAACTGGTGGTTTAAGAACCACAGTTTGGGAACCCCTGCTTTATTTAATGTGTGTGGTTTCCTCTGGATGTGTTCAGAATGGGCAAAGGCAGAATATGGACAGCGGGGGGGGGGGGACGGGACTATAGCGCTCTAGCTTTCTTCCATCACAAACCTGAGTCCAAAGTCTACAAACAGGACTTATTTTAGCTTGTTCTTAGGAGAGAGGCAGAAGTTGTGCATGTTGACAGCATGCAACACCAGTGTTTAACTTACGGGTCAAGGACTGAAGCCATATAGGAGCGAGGATCTGGGTAGATGTCTTTGTGTAATAGCGCTGTCATTGGGCTTTGCAGCATGTTGGAGGAAGGAGCTGGGGCTTCTGTAGTGTGTTGGTTTCTAAAATTTGAGTAGCTCTGCTAACAAGCCTTTGAATGACCAACAGCTAACTGCTTGCATTTCTCATCTTCTCTTTTTAAAAAAATCAGTTGGCTATACAGAAATATGAAGAAATGTTCCCAGCTTTCTCGGACTCCAGAGAGTGCAAACTGGTTAAAGTGAGTAGTTTTTATCTAGCCTTCAAAGGCTGATGTAGACATCTGTAGGAGCTACTGTCCTGGTCACTGTCAGAAAGCATCCATTTGGCGGTTAAAATCAGTTTTGTGAGTCTTGAAGCTACACAAGGAAACTCTGGATTAGCTCAGTGGTTCCCATACCGCCCCCCAACAAAAAATGCCGAAAAACTTGCCAGACCACTTAATGATTTTTCACCCTGTTGTAGCAATTGTGCTCGATGCTAAATGATTTTAAATTGTATTTTCATTGCCTCTTTTATTTTTTTCTAGTGTATTTTGTGACATACCAATTTGAATTCCATATAATATAAAATAATGTATACTGATAAATAATAAAATGCAATATGAGAACTGAAAGAAGCAATGAAAGTATAATTAAAAACAAACTTGAATATATAATATGCTGCACCTGCTGTTCTTCGAGCTTGCAGTCCCTGGCGGTCTGCGGACCACAGTTTGGGAACTCCAGCTTCGGATTACTTAAACTTTATGATTGAATTTGTGGAGCTCTTCAGTGTTCTTGTACAAAGGATAAGAGGCCAGTGAGTGAGAAATGAGAGGTTCTCTGTGCGGTCAGCAAGGATGGACGAACAAAAGGTTGGTGGTTGGGGTGGTGTCGAGGAGGGACACAGGTACTCCTTAGTATGAAGATCAAACAAGCCAAAAAGACTGGAGATTCAAAGCCATTCAAATCTTGCAACATGCTTTTTTGTCCCATCCCATCACTCGTTTAAAATAGGATCCGTCCTAGATTGCATGATTACATCCACTCTTGTTACCAGAATAACATTCAGCCAGTCAGGAATCCATAGCCATAGCATCTTTTTAAAAAATCATCTTCTATTCGTTGTTAGGGCACAATGGGACACTGATTCACCATCTTGTTGTAATTGGGAACTAATCCATAAGTTCACCAATATTCTGTCTCCCCCACAGAAATTGCTGGATGCTCATGAAGAACAGAACATTGACAGCTACACCGAATCGGTAAGGCTGTGTTTTCCTCAAGGGCCTAGTATGAGCATGGAGGCTTGCTGTGACTTCTAGTGTCCATTAACCTAGAATTTTAGGATGGGGAACATCTGGCCTTTCATTTTTTTAAAAAATGATGTTTATTGAGAATTTTAAAATTACAAAAAAAAAAACAAAGAGAAAAAGAAGGAAAAAACAAGACAGACCCCCCTATGCAGGGATGTTTTGACTTTTCAAGTCTGGCGTTGGGCCGGGAGGAGTTTGGAGTTGTGGGGGTCCTCAACTTTGGAGGGACCTTGAAACATGCTTTTAAATACCACATGGAGTTCAGTGTGGACTATGGAAAAGGGGCTGATCTGTCGAGAAGGGACAAAAATATTGTCAAGCTGGAGTCTCCACGAGTGAAAGGAGCAGAAGACAAAGTAAAGTACAGGTATAAATATGAAGAAGATCTGCGGAAGGGACATGGAAGAGACTTAAGGGCCTCGGACATAAGGTTACCAGGTTAATGAACTAGATGGATGGGATAGAAAGGACTGACAAAACCCGAGACCAGGAGGAAGAGACGTTGGATGAAGATTGGAAGAAAGTTTTAAAAATTCTACTTAGGAATATTTTCTAAAATTAATGAGTATTAGAAAAATGTTGGAACGAAATTATTTGGCTTTAGCAGAAATGTTAAAAAGAACTATGTAAGAATATGTTATGGTTATGAGAAATTGGTATAAATAAGATTTAAGTTTTAAGTTTTAGGGTTTTTTATGGTAAGATAAGGTTAAAATAGATTAAGGTAATTTAATGACAGAATATTATGAAAAATGGAAAGGATTTGCTGTGCCAATCAACAATTAGAATACAAAAAAGGGAGGTGTGAGGAGGTCGATGAAATAAGGTAATGACAGTTAAGGATTTGGGAATATTGGATCTGTCTTTCTTGTTTTTTGGCCTTTCAGACAGGTTGAACTACAACTCCCATCAGCCCCAGCGAGCATGGCCAGGTACGATGGGAGTTGTAGTTCAACGGCCTCCGGAGGGCTACAGGTTCCTCATCCCTGCTATAATCTTAACAGGTTAGCCTGGTGGAAAAGCTTTAATTTCTTCTGTAAGTTTGGCTCACATTCTCCTGGGCTGCCAGCTTTTTACCTTCTCTGTGCGCCTGGGAGACACACTGCCTTCAGACCTCAGGTGGTTTATTTAGAGCAACCAGCTCTAAAGTGGGGCAGGCAGGCAGCAATGTGCACCAGAACACAGGTGGTACATGGGGATCAGCAGTTAGATGCCTCTGGGCCAGATTTAGTCCCCTTAAGTGCCAGCCTCGCGGAAGAGGAGGTGTGGGGGAAACAGCATCTCTGGCGGCAGATGCTAACAGCCACTTCTGGGGTGGTGATAGCATTAGCGCCTGTGGAAAGGAGGGCGAGTGCTCCTGCAAAGCCAGCTGCTGACATGTATTTCATACGCTTAAAATCACATGTCTACTTTCCAAGCTAAAATCCTGGATTCAGAGACTCGTTTGTTTATCCAAGGAAAGGGATTTTTAAGCGTTCAGATCAAGCAGACCTAGCATGACGGGAAGGCAGGTCGATTTTTAATGACTTGGACTCCAAATACCCGAAAGGTCACCTCAACCTTTACAGGTTCTTAGGTTTTAAGATCAACGGAGGGCCCTCTTGGTGGTTCCAACATCCTCAAAGGTTTTGGTAGTAAAAGCCCGGAAAGGACATTCTTTGTGGCATCGCCTAGGTTGTGAACTCCCCCCCCCCCCCAGAAGTGCACCTGGTACCTTCATTATATAATTTCTGTCATATGCTGAAGACAACACCTCTTTACTTTGACTTCGCCGATGACTGAGATACATATTTTTAGGACAACCCCCCTTTGGTTGGCTAATGTTTTAAGCTGATTTTAATATTGTATTTTAAATATATTTTAAAATTATATTTAAGCAACAACTATTATTATTATATTATTATTATTTCCTAGGGCAGGTTACAGCATTAAAAACAATTCAAAACAACTTACAATGTATATGCTGCCTAACTACAATTGTCTTTAAGCAGCGTACAAGAAATACAATACCGGGAAGTTAAAAAATTGTTAAAACTAACCCGCCTCAGGACCTTATGGTGAAGTGTGGGTAAGAAAATTGAGATAACAATAGTAATGGCAGCAAAGAGGCTATATAGAATATTGCCAGTGGTTCCATATGTGAATGTGGTTTCATAGGCAGGAGCTCACCATGTTAGTTTGTTAATACAGGCACAATTTACTGCATCTCTGTTCTTTCCTGCCCCCCGTCAGGTGAAGGAGTATGACTCCATCTCTCGCTTGGACCAGTGGCTCACCACCATGCTCCTGCGCATCAAGAAAACCATACAGGGCGAAGAGGAGGACCTACGCTAAGCCACTACCCCCCAACCCTCTGCCCCTCATCTGCAGAACTCTGCGTGGATCGGCTCTGGGGGAGGAGAGGGGTTTTGGCCCAAAGGAACTGGACTTGAATGGCAAATGGTTTATTACTGCTCCCTTTCTCATCACCTCTCTCCTTGCCGCCGCCTCTTAGTACTGCAGAAAACAGGACCAGGGAGTGTGTCGCCCGTGGACTGACTCCAGCTGGAGAGAGACATGAAGGCTGTAACATGAAGTTCTCATTTCCGTTGCCTCGCTGCCCCTCCCCAGAATCTGTGCGCGTTGCTTTCTGAGCCAGCATTTTACCTTCTTCCGACGGCTTTAAAATAATTTGTGTGGCTTAACGTTTGAAAGTCTCTCTAGTGGGTTCAGATGATGGCACCAGCTTCCTTCCTCTCTCCCAGAAGAGAGATTGTTAGAAGCTAGCCCTGGGGTGGAAAGGAGCCTCTTCTGTACAGCAGACGAGATGCCCCCGTCTTCGTGGCCTCATCCTGTTACGCACCTCAAACCACATCTTCCAGAGCAGTTCCATCCTCCCTCCCCCAGGCAACGATTGGATGGCAGCCCCTTTCCCCCCTTTCCTTGTATCAAATACTTGTCCTATCAAAAAGGGTAGCATTGCTTTCTAATTCTAATGATTGACATGAAGCTGCCTGAGCTGGTTCTTAATTGGAAGCTGGCACGCATACCCCCATTTCAAGTCCTGGCAGACATATGAGAACTAGAAATTCTAGATACTTTACGTGGTGTATATCCTGACTCTTCTTTTCCAGGCTGCAAGAAGCATTTCTTGCAGCCCAGCTTACCATCTTGAATTCAGGTAGGAAAGAGTTGCCCTTGCTCTTTCCCTTGTCCTTAGAAGTTGGTGCCAGTCACCCATACAACATTACACGAGTACGGGGTCGTAATGCATATCCATTTGCCGGTCACTAGGGGATATAGGGTGTTCGTTCTCCTGTTGCCTGCGTAGCAAGAGGCAAACAATTCCTGAGCCATGCTGCAGGTAGCCAAAAACCTATTTAATGCTAGTAATTCTGTGTGTGTGCGCAGGCTGTCTTGATAGCTACCATCTCTTGCATGGTTTTCCTTCAGGCTTAGTTTGAAGGGAGCAATTCTTCTGCCAAGTATTCTGTGTTCTGTATTCATTGTCCTAAAGCTTCCCTCCCACCTCTGGATTTCCTCTTGTGTTGGCTTTAAAAACAAACAAACAAAAAACACCTAACTTTATCATGTAGTTGAGACAAAAGGGTTGATATCTTCATGAGGGATTCTCATGTTGAACTTTTTATTATTCAAGGGGGCGGGGAGGGTGAAATTAAGTGCTGCTGCATGTTTTGCAATGTTCACCAGCAAGTAACTCTGATTATAGAAAAATAACTTGCACACAGCAAACAACGAGTAATAAAATCTGCATGGGTGGAAAACCAAACTATAGTAATCTTTGTCTAACAATAGTCTCTCTAGCTAAAGTTCCTGCTGCTTCTCTTAAGTGACGTGCATGTTTTCAGGCCTAGGCTCTCCACGCTGTTTCTTCCCATCCGTGTTCCAGGACTAATTCTGCCACCTTCCCGTCAACCCTTCTAAGTTGTGATTTCTATTTCTGAGCACTGGCTGTGATTCTGTCTATAAAAAACACAATTACATGCTTGAATCTGGCTGTGCATATGTGTGTTCAGTCTTCAGACTTTTTTCCTGTGATGGATTTGGAACCGGAGCAGCTATGTTTGGGTGAACTTGACCTGCAGCTTCTCACCCTGTTTTGAGCAGTGCTGCTTTGCAGGTTTGAGTGTGGTGTGTATTCTGCACTTTTAAAAGATGGGGGAGGGGGAGACATAGTGCCCGTAAAAGCAGAGTTGTGTTAATTTATGTTAGCTTCCATAATTCTGCTTTTTTTAATGCAGTACAATGAACCTTACTAACTAGTATTTCCCCTGCACTGTCCCTAAAAAGTCTTTAGACATGTCAACATGCATCAAAGTTTATCTTCGATCCAAACTTGTTTTTAAAAAGCAAATCCCATTCTGAATGCTGCAAATACCACCCCCCCCTCCTGGACAGCATGGGCAGAATATACCTAGCCCTCAGCTTAATTTGAAGGTTTCATCATCCAGGTACCGGCCTACCTCATGTTGTCAATGGCAATCACTTTATAGAGGCAGAGTTTCCTAGGGCGGGTCTTGTCTCTTGTGCCAAAGCAAAAGCGTATTCATTAGTCCAGACCAGAAATCAGTGGTTCAGAACTTGTGGGTCATCTGAAGCTAACTATAAAAGGTACATCCTTTTCTGAGACCTAGATTTGGCTGGGCTTCATCCAAATTTTTGTGAGTTCGGCATTCCTGTGCTCAGCCTAAACTGTTACTTGGGGCACCAGGTGTGCTTTGAAAATTCAGCTATCTTTGCCCATGCCTTTTGATACAGTACGAAAACACAAAACCTAGTTTTAGAATTATTATTTTCTATCATTTATACCCTGCCCATCTGGCTGGGTTGCCCTAGCCACTCCAGGTGACTTCCAGCATATATAAAAACACTAAAACCTTAAACCGCTTCCCTATACAGGGCTGCCTTTAGATGTTCCCCAAATGTTATATAATTACTCATCGCCTTAACATCTGATGGGAGGGCATTCCACAGGGTGGTCACCACTACCAAGAAGGTCCTCTGCCTTATTCCCTGTAGCTTTACTTCTCACAGTGTGGGAACTGCCAGAAGGCGCTCGGTGCTGGACCTCAGTGTCTGGGCTAAACAATGGGAGTGGAGATGCTCCTTCAGGTATACAGGGCCGATGCCTTTTTGGCCTTTAAAGGTCAGTACCATCAAATTGTGCTTGGAAATGTACTGGGAGCCAGTGTAGGTAATTCAGGACTGGTGTTACATGGTCTAGCTGCCACATTCTGGATTAATTGTAGTTTCTGAGTCACATTCAAAGGTAGCCCCATGTAGAGCGCATTGCAGTAGTCCAAGCGGGAGATAACCAGTGCATGTATCACTCTGGCAAGACAGTGAGCAGGGAGGTAGGGTCTCAGCCAGCGTACCAGATAGAGCTGGTAGAAAAGCGCACATGAAGCACATTGCTTATGGCAGCATTGGAGAACATCTGGCCCTCCAGATGATACTGGACTATGTGGGAGATGGGACTGAGGATTAAATCAAAATTAAATTTTAACCACCTATTCCATGTAACTAAGGCCTTTTAGCAGAGTAAAACATTTAAATGTTTTTGCAGTTTAGTAAAGCTTAGGAATTAGGCAGTTGTGCTTTTTTATTTTTATTTATGGTCTGCTGACCACCCCCCCTCTTCACCCCTGTTGCAGAGAACGAACCACACTTTTTTTTAGTAATAGAAACAAACAAACAAAAAGGTTTACTTACATTTCAGTGCTGACAGCAAATACAACAAAGTAGTATGCAGAAAAAAATACTTCAAAGTTACTAGGAAGTTTAAGAACTCTTGTGTGCCAGCCCTGTGCTTGTTTAGCAAAACATGCATTTGTGATTTGGCTGCCAACCCTCACCAACATCCCTGATCACTGACCATGCTGGCTGGAACTCAAGGGAGTTGGAACTAGTAAGACCTGGAATGCAAGCACAGGTACCCAAACCCTCGCTTAGGGAGTTGATGTGATCTGCTTTCCACTGGAGATGGTGAAGCCTCTAGGTCCATAATTTGTGCAGTAGATTGCAGCAAACGATCATCTCATTCTCTCCTAAGTGATGCAACGTTCCATGATCACTTGGGCTAGAGTTTAGTTATATTTTCATGTTACTGCTCTTGTGCTGCCATCCCACTTGAGTACAATACCAGCTGGGTAACATGACTGGAAGCCTGTGTGTGTGTGTGTGTGTGTGTGTGTGTGTGTGTGTGTGTGTAAAATTTTACAAAGCCCCATATTTTCTAGGGCTCTGGCAATGAGCTTAAACTATACATAGTATGACTTGCTTAACTGGCTTTTGAGGGAAATACAATGCAAACATAATGCATTGTAAAGATCCAAGGTGCCGTTTTCAGTAGCCTGACGAAAGAATGCAGTTCTTCCAAGTGTTAAGTCTAATAAACCTGACTAACTATTAGAAGGAATGGACCATCTCTTTAAATATTGGGGCTATTTCTGGGAATGGGGAATATTGCAACAAGGAGCACTTGTAACACATCACAATATAAAATCACGGGGGTGGGGGTCGGGGGGAGATGAAAGAAAGAAAAAGAAAGAAAGAAAGAAAAAGAAAGAAAGAAAGAAAGAAAGACAAGCCCCAGACCTGGCAATACTGTAGGTTTAAAGGACATGCATTTCAGCTGACTGGCATTGTCTGTGGATTTTATATTTTGGAAGAAAAGCTACAAAAATTTTGGACCCCGTCTCTATACATTTAAAGCAGTATCATAATGCTTTAAACAGTTGTGGCTTTCCTCCAAAAGGATCCTAGGCACTGTTGTTTGTGCCTAGAGTAGCTCTGAGACTCCTATTCCCCTCAGGCGCCTACAATTCCAAGAGTGGTTTAACAATATCTCTGCTCAGGGAATTGCAGCTCTGGGAAGGCAATAGGGGTCTCATGCCAACTCGGCACGCTTTACCAACGACAGTTTCCAGGAAGTGGTGACAGTGGCACAATACTGCTTTAAATGTATAGTGGAGATGCGTCTTCAGAGGAAGAAAACTGCCCTCTAATGGACAATGAGAAGAAAAACGAAGAAGAGATTGTGTTAAGCGTATGGATCAATACGCAATTGGTGATAGGGTTGCATTTGTTAATCGTAGAAACTCACAGAAAGGGTCTCCATTTCATGCAGTGCTAAAAAGAGGAATGCTAGCGCTTAGGGTCAAGGCCTGGTGCGCATGGAAGTGCGTTGCTTTCCTGCTATGTGTTTGTCACCTGTTCAAAAACTACCAGTACGTTTCCGAGCACAATTCAAAGTGTTGGTGTTGACCTTTAAAGCCCTAAACGGCCTCGGCCCAGTATACCTGAAGGAGCGTCTCCACCCCCATCATTCTGCCCGGACGCTGAGGTCCAGCACCGAGGGCCTTCTGGCGGTTCCCTCATTGCGAGAAGCAAAGCTACAGGGAACCAGGAAGAGGGCCTTCTCAGTGGTGGCGCCCGCCCTGTGGAACGCCCTCCCATCAGATGTCAAAGCGATAAATAACTACCTGACATTTAGAAGGCATCTTAAGGCAGCCCTGTTCAGGGAAGCTTTTAATCTGTGATATTTTACTGTATTTTTTGTTTCTATGGAAGCCGCCCAGAGTGGCTGGGGAAACCCAGCCAGATGGGCGGGGTACAAATAATAAATTATTATTATTATTATTATTATTATTATTATTATTATTATTATTATTATTACCATAGTTCAGCATTTGGAGTAAATTGTTAAGAGAGATGTCATTTCCAATCTCTAGTGTTTTCTGGTGCCCTCTGGGCCTGGACATTCCTCCTTTGGCCCCACTATTAAACTATCAGAGGGCACCTTTTGTTGTGTGAACCACCCTGAGACCTCCAGGTATAGGGCGGTATGTAAATTCAGTTAATAATAATCATTAAATCTTCAGTACAGACATGACGCAATTGTGCCAATTAAACATTTGCAGATTACAGCCCTAGCAATAACCCCATGAAGATGTCAGGCTGTGTAAATCCCAAAGGGTCATCTAATCTAACCCTCTGCAGCCCATTTTATTTTAAATCTGTTTATTGGTTATCGCATATTTTTGTTTTTTTCTCATTTGGGGCGTGGTGACACTGTAGACAAGCACCAAAAATTCTTTATAATCTGTTAAAGCTATGCTTGGTGGAGTCACCTCTTTTCCTTGCTTTTTATTTAATTTTTAAGTGTTGTATATTATTATTATTTTAAAATGCCACCCTTAAACGTCCTCCCCGCAAGTTGCAGACTGCGACGTCCATACGTGTTGGCGATGGGGATATTTCAGTACTGAGTTTTGCGTTTTTATGTTGCAGACCGCCCTATAATGATGATAATAATAATAATAATAATAATAATAATAATAATAGCGCCGGGCAACGGGAAGGAGCCTAAAGAGGCCATCTTGGAATCGGGCGTGCGTCACACGTCCGCGACGCCTCTTTGCCCGGCGACGTCACCTTCGGAAGGCCCCCTACCCCTTTTTACCTGGCTCTCCAATAATGGTGGGGAAGGGAGGACGGGGCTGCCCGTAGCGGTGCCTGAGCCGGAATGGATCCCTCCCGGGAATGCCCGTTTTCGGAGGACAGCTTCACCCGCTTCTCCTCCCAGAGCAACATCTACGGGCTGGCCGCGCTGCCCGGGGCGGCCCGCGGGGGCGGGAGGGGCCCGGGGCAGGAGGATTTCCCGAGGGGGGCGGGGCTGGGGCCGGAGGAGGTGGGGGTCTCCGAGGGGCCAGGGACGGGCCTGGGGGTCCCTGTGCCCCCCGCCCCCGGGGGGTGCGGGGACGGCCCTGGGGGGCTCCTGGCTGCCACCCTGAAGGGGAAAGTGATTTATTTCCGCTACCAAGACCTGAGGCAGAAGCTGCGCCCCGTGGCCAGGGAGCTGCAGTTCACCTATATCCCAGGTAAGGAGGCAGGTGGGCTCAGTGGGCGGAGGGGGGCAGTCTGTGGGTTGGAGTGAGGGACCGGGGGACCCAGGTAATAATAACAATAATAATAATAATAATTAATAATAATAAAAGGTAAAGGGACCCCTGACCATTAGGTCCAGTTGTGACTGACTCTGGGGTTGCGGTGCTCATCTCGCTTTACTGGCCGAGGGAGCCAGTGTACAGCTTCCGGGTCATGTGGCCAGCATGTGGCGAACCAGAGCAGTGCACGGAAACACCGTTTACCTTCCCGCCGGAGCGGTACCTACTTATCTACTTGGACTTTGACATGCTTTCGAACTGCTAGGTTGGCAGGAGCTGGGACCGAGCAACGGGAGCTCACCCCGTCGCGGGGATTTGAACCTCCGACCTTCTGATCAGCAAGCCCTAGGCTCAGTGGTTTAACCCACAGCAACACCCACATCCCTTACAATAATAATAATAATAATAATAATTTATTATTTATACCCCGCCTATCCGGCTGAGTTTCCCCAACCACTCTCGGCGGCTCCCAATCGAGTGTTAAAAACAATACAGAATTAAATATTAAAAACTTCCCTCAACAGGGCTGCATTCAGATGTCTTTTAAAAATAGGATAGCTGCTTATTTCCTTGACTTCTGATGGGAGGGCGTTCCACAGGGCGGGTGCCACCACCGAGAAGGCCCTCTGTCTGTTTCCCTGTAACCTCACCTCTCGCAATGAGGGAACCGCCAGAAGGGCCTCAGTGTTGGACCTCAGTGTCCGGGTAGAATGATGGGGGTGGAGACGCTCCTTCAGGTATACTGGGCTGAGGCCGTTTAGGGCTTTCAACGTCAGCACCAACACTTTGAATTGTGCTCGAAAATGGACTGGGAGCCAATGCAGATCTCTCAGGACCGGTGTTATGTGGTCCCGGCGGCCACTCCCAGTCACCAGTCTAGCTGCCGCATTCTGGATTAATTGCAGTTTCCGGGTCACCTTCAAAGGTAGCCCTGCTCCTCCTCTGCCCCCCCAACCCCCCTCCACCTACGAGAGGAAATCTCTCAGTTCAGCATTTCATTCATTTCCCTCTCTTCTTGTGTGATCTTTGTTGGATGCTAACTGCTGGCAGGTGATCTCCCTTACCCCACGGTCTCTTTGTGTGTCTCTTTGCTTCTCAGTTGATGCCGAGATCGCCTCCATTGACACTTTCAACAAATCACCTCCCAAAAGGGGTTTGGTGGTGGGGATCACCTTTATTAAGGTAGGTGTGGCTTTCATCCCTTTGTGAAATGATGCGTCGCTTGGCGTGTTTTTCACAAGCAGTGCTTTTGAAAGGCGGAGACCTAATACTGTATGGCATGCAGGGAAGAGATCTCAGACGTTGACATCAGGGAATAATAATAACAATAGTAATAATAATAATGATAAAATTTCTAGTATGCAACTCAACTGAATGGGTTGCCTCAGCCACTCTGGGCTGCTTCCAACAAAATATAAAGGAAAACAATGAAGCATCAAACATTAAAAGCTTCCTAAAACAGGGCTGCCTTCAGATATCTATGGAAAGTCATAGGATTGCTTATCTCTTTGATATTTGATGGGAGGGCGTTTCACATGGGGGGCGCCACTACCGAGAAGACCTTCTGCCTGGTTCCCTGTAGCTTCACTTTTCTCAATGAGAGAAGTGCCAGAAGACCCTCGGAGCTGGACCTCAGTGTCCGGGCTGAGCTATGGGGGTGGAGGCACTCCTTCAGGTATACAGATTAGGTCCTCACAAGAAAAGGTAGTCCTTTAGGTATTGGGGTCTCGGAGGATGTGCCGTTCCATTTTGGCTGGTCCTGCTTCCAAGAAAACTTTCCTTGGGTCAGGTTGTAACTTAAATTAACACAATGGTTTACAATTCTCGTCCTCAGGATAACCACTTTACAGCAGTACTGGTGTGATTGGCGGGTATTTAGTGATTTTGCTAATTCATATTGTTTTGAGTAGCTGTATTTGTTGTACTTTCATTTTATATATTTTTTGTATCTGCTTACTGCTTTTGGGGCATCTGGGGCAAAAAGCAGTATGTAGGTAAATGAGAACATAACATAGCTTATTGCCGGATTAAGCCCCATGACAGTCTTCCTTGGCCTGAAAAAGGAAGACTAGATAGAACTTTGGTTTGATCCAGTAGAACTCATCTTTAAGTGATTACGTGTACTGCAAAGTCTTCTTGATGTGAAATGAACTTGCATCTTTGCCTGTTTCTCTTCCCATGTCCACAGGATTCTGGCGACAAAGCCAGCCCCTTCCTTAACATTTACTGCGACTATGAACCAGGATCTGAATACAACTTAGATTCTATCGCACGTGAGCCTTCAATATCTGTTTTTGCCACCTAACCCTGAAATCAGTGCCCCAAGTTCCCTCCAGTCTCTTCTGTTATCTCCCTGTTAACCCATGTCCTGGAAGCAAAATATATCAAAACTGCTTAGAAAACCTTCACGGATGTAAGAGTCAAAGTGCAGAATTTGGCGTGAAACATGGATTTTCTAGCAAAGCAGTAGTATCTCCTACCCTATTCAGGGGGTGGGGAGTTGGAAGTTAAAAGCCATTAGGTATTCTAGTTAGTTATGCCAAGGTATGAAGCCCAGCATACACGGCATGTTTGCATTTTCAACAGAGAAGACTTCTGAAGCCACCCCTCAATGGACTAGCACCTTAAGCTCTTAAAAACGCAATCGCCCCAAATTCCAAATTGGGTAATATCAAACCCTTGAGAGCTACAACTTCCTTTTCATTTTGGTCATGATACAGTGGTACCTTGGTTTTCGAACAGAATGTGTTCGAAAACCAAAGCACGGCTTCCATTTGGCTGCAGGAGTGTCCTCCAGCCAATTGGAAGCTGCGGCAGATGTTTGGCTTCCAAAAACCGTTTGAAAACCGGAACTTCCGGATTTTGATCGTTCGGGAGCCGACTTTTTTGGGAGCCAAGGTGTTCGGCTTCCAAGGTACGACTGCACTTCCCCTGGAGCACGTTCATGATCCAGAGAAGGTTGATATAATAATAATAATAATAATAATAATAATAATAATTTATACCCTGTCCATCTGGCTGGGCTTCCCCAGCCACTCCGGGTGGCTTCCAACAAAAATATTAAAATACTGTAATACATCAAACATTAAAAGCTTCCCTAAACAGGGCTGCCTTCAGATGTCTTCTAAAAGTATGGTAGTTGTTGTTCTCTTTGACATCTGATGGGAGGGCGTTCCACAGGGAGGGCGCCACTACCGAGAAGGCCCTCTGCCTGGTTCCCTGTAACTTTGCTTCTGGAACTGCCAGAAGGCCCTCGGAGCTGGACCTCAGTGTCCAGGCTGAACGATGGGGGTGGAGACGCTCCTTCAGATATACTGGACCTTTGAGGCTGTTTAGGGCTTTCAAGGTCAGCACCAACACTTTGAATTGTGCTCGGAAACGTACTGGGAGCCGTACTGAAACATAGTGGATGTATATTGTCTCTCTCCCCCGCTCCAACTTCCCAGCTATGGAAACTGGGCATATACTTTCTTGTTTTCAGGGAGTATTTTTCTTTCTATCCAGAGAGCTGTTTGAACCTGGAACTGCAGTTTACCCCCTTCCAGCTGTATCATGCAGAGTACGTATGCCACTTGCCCTTTCTCATCTCTCTCTAAAACAAAACCCCTCTTCCCTGCTTTTCCCTTTTTCCTTGTGTGTCATTCCCACCCCCCCCAACCTGTGGCCAGAGACTGCCCCATCCTAACTGTTTGTGCGCAAGCCACCCTGGGAGCCCTTTTGGGATGCAAACACTCTAAATAAATTAAAAAATTAAAAATATTTCGGGGACATTCATGCAAAACTCTTTAAAAAGAAAATGCTTCTTCTCTCATCGCAGAGTCCAGGTTGCTGACCAGCCGGAGACGGTCTTCCTTTTGAGTGGCAATGACCCTGCGATCCACTTATACAAAGAGGTGAGGCCACCAGATGAAGGTGAGATTTGGTTTTCCCATTGCGTTGGAGGCGCCCTGATGTGACTGTATTGCTCCGCTCCTCTTTAGAATGAAGAGCTGCACCAGTTTGAGGAGCAGCCGGTGGAGAACCTCTTTCCGGAACTCAAGGAGCTGCCAAGCAAGTAGGAAGACGGGTTTGCTATTAAAAACAAGAGAGGGAGAGAGAGAGCTGGTATGGGGAGAGCAAGTTTTGGTACTACTGTATGTGTGTGTGTGCAGGAAGGAGGCTTACAGAAGCTCTGAGACTAAGGCCCAGCCTCTCCTCGTATTTACGGGACCGCCTCTCCTGGTCTGCCCCGCAGAGGACCTTAAGCTCCATGAATAATCATAGTTTAGAGGTCCCGGGCCCTAAGGAAGTCAGATTATCCTCCACCAGGGCCAGGGCCTTCTCAGTGATGGCTCCGACCTGGTGGAATTCTCTGTCCCACGAGACCGGGGCCCTGCAGGATTGGTCTCAACTAGGGCCAGAGCCTTTTCAGTACTGGCCCCGACTTGGTGGAACGCTCTGTCACAAGAGACTAGGACCGTGCGGGACTTGACATCTTTCCGCAGGGCCTGTAAGACAGAGCTATTCCGCCTGGCTTTCAATTTGAACTTGGCCTGATCTTTTATTCCCCTTCCTTCTCTCCCCCTCCCCTTTTTTCTGAAGATCATCTGCTCTGGGATCCCACAGCTAATTCTCCCCTGGTCTCCACGCTGGCCCAAATAGGACTAATTTAGCCAGCTAGCCCTGGTGATCATCTATTGGATGGTTCCCCCCTAAATTGATTTTTGAATTCCGTATTTATTATTCACGTTTATACTGTATTTTATGCTGTTTTTTGCAGCATCAATTAAGTGTTTTAAATTTGTTGTTAGCCGCCCAGAGCCCGGTTTTCTGAACCGGGAAGGGCGGGGTATAAATAAAAATTTACTATTATTATTGTTGTTGTTGTAACTTAAAAAACAGCACAAAAGGAGAAGGGATGGGGAGGGAGGAGGGGAAAAGCAAAACCGCACAAGGTTGGTTGCATCCAACCTTGGTCATACTTGGAGAAAACACTTAAAAATGCATGGGCATGACCAACTTAAGTACATAAGTTTCAGTGGGGCTACTCGTGAGTAGAGATCAGTTGCACTCCTCACCTCAAAGGGCGGACTCTGCATCCCCCATTCATCCTTCATTCTGCCCGACCTCTGTTTTGCCCAGGAAACCACCCACTCCATTGATCATTGCCCTCCTCTCTTCCTTGCAGCGTCCTCTGGTTAGATGTGTACAACATTCCAAACTCAGGGCAGCGGATCACGGCCTTTGGTTGCCAGAGCGGCTACATTCGAGTCGCCCATGTTGAACCAGCCAGTCGAGGTAAGCTACCTTTATTTGTGATGTTTTAAAAGGAGGTTGACAAGTTTCTCTGCTCATTGTGGAATCTTTTTGGAGGGAGGGCGCTGGCTGTGCAAATGTCCCAGGCTTCAGCACTTGGTAGACCAGCCTTTGACAGCCAGCCTGCAGGAGCTGACGGGAGTTGTAGACCGAGACAGCTGGAGGGCTCCAGGTTGGCAAAGGGTGAAATTGAAAGGCCCTGTATGAGAAGCCCCTATCACTATTGGCATTCCACCAGGTCTGCTTAAGCAGGCATTCCCTTGAATGTGAACTTTCCTGATCTATTTATAATAATAATAATAATAATTTATTATTTATACCCCGCCCATCTGGCTGGGCTTCCCCAGCCACTCTGGGCGACTTCCAACAGAACACTAAAGTACAATAACCTATTAAACATTAAAAGCTTCCCTAAACAGGGCTGCCTTCAGATGTCTTCTAAAAGTTCGGTAGTTATTTTTCTCTTTGACATCTGGTGGGAGGGCGTTCCAAAGGGCGGGTGCCACTACCGAGAAGGCCCTCTACCTGGTTCCCTGTAACTTGGCTTCTCGCAGTGAGGGAACCTCCAGAAAGCCCTCGGAGCTGGACTTCAGTGTCCGGGCAGAACAATGGAGGTTGAGACACCCCTTCAGGTATACTGGGCCTTTGAGGCTGTTTAGGGCTTTAAAGGTCAGCACCAACACATTGAATTGTGTTCGGAAACGTACTGGGAGCCAGTGTAGGTTTTTCAAGACCGGTGTTATATGGTCTCGGCGGCCGCTCCCAGTCACCAGTCTAGCCGCATTCTGGATTAGTTGTAGTTTCGGGGTCACCTTCAAAGGTATTCCAACATTGAGCGCATTGCAGTAGTCCAAGCAAGAAACAACTAGAGCATGCACCACTCTGGCCAGACAGTCTGTGGGCAGATAGGGTCTCAGCCTGCATACCAGATGGAGCTGGCAGACAGCTGCCCTGGATACAGAATTGACCTGCGTCTCCATGGACAGCTGTGAGTCCAGAATGACTCCCAGGCTGCGCACCTGGTCCTTCAGGGGCACAGTCACCCCATTCAGGACCAGTGAGTCCTCCACACCTGCCCATTTCCTGCCCCCCAAAAACAGTACTTCTGTCTTGTCAGTATTTAACCTCAATCTGTTAGCTGCCACCCATCCTCCAACCGCCTCCAGACACTCACACAGGACCTTCACCACCTATTTAATTGTCTTTAAGTGCTGTGCTTTGTCACTGGTTTGTTTTATTGTGAATTTTAATTATAGCTGTTTCTATGGAACTTTAAAAATAAAATGTATATATATATTATAATTGATTTTATACTTGTAAACTGCTTAGTCTCCATCTTGGGGGGGCGGGTAAGTGGCATATAAATATTCCTAGCAGCACCTTTCTTGAAAACTCAGCCATTGTGGTGTTGGCTGACTGTCCCCTCTGCCCCTACACCAGTGTGGTGTAGTGGTTAAGAGCAGTTGACTCGTAATCTGGGGAACCGGGTTCGCTTCCCTGCTCCTCCACATGCAGCTGCTGGGTGACCTTGGGCCACTTCTGTGAAGTCTCTCAGCCCCACTCACCTCACCTCACAGAGTGTTTGTTGTGGGGGAGGAAGGGAAAGGAGAATGTGAGCCGCTTTGAGACTCCTTCGGGTAGTGATAAAGTGGGATATCAAATCCAAACTCTTCTTCTTCTTCTTCTTCTTCTTCTTCTTCTTCTTCTCCTCTGCCCAAGTGGTGCTGCAAAGCTGGAACATCCAGCAAGACGGTCCCATCTCCAAAGTCCTGGTGTTTGCTCTGCCAGCTTCCTGCCCTCCAGGCGACCCCTCAGGAACCGTGGCTTCAAATGGTAAGAAACAAGAGGGGGCCATGGGCTTCTCTGCAACCTCAGGTGGAGATAAGGCAGCCTTTCCCAAGCTGGTGCCCTCCGGACAAATGGTGGAGTCCCAACTCCCACCATCCCTGATCATTTCCTCTGCTGGATCGGGGTGATGGGAGCTGACGTCCGCCAGCATCTGGAGGGCACCAGCTTGTGGGTGGCTGTCAGGGGCGGGTGCCAGGAGCAGGACAGTAATAACTCACACAGCATTGGTGAAGTTAACTCTTTATTCAAAGAAACAAACAGCTCAGGAAACCAGGCCTAGGGAGCACAGCAACTCTTCCCGTTAGATCTTGTCCCAATGAGGCAGTTGCGAGGACTGAAGGTCCCTGTCTTCCCACAGTTGCCTAAGCTGCTTCCTTGCTCGGGTTCTTCCCAGGCAACCTGAAACTCTGTCGGCGTGGCTGCCTCTGTTCCGCCCTCTTCATACCTCTTCTGGTTCTGGGAGCCCTGCAGGAGGGGATCTGGTTGCAGCGGGAGTGGGAGACCCCCTGGTTTCTTCAGCAGCCTGCCTCATCTCTGTCTCCTGGCCCTCCTCCTCTCCTGCCTCTGAACTGTTGTCTGCCACAGCCTCTTCCTGCTCACTAAACCCTGTTGCCTCTTCAGCTTCCGATACCACCACCTCCTCCCAGTCTTTTCCCTCGGACCACTCATTGTCGTCCCACCAGCGCTCCCCAGGCTCTGAGTCTTCTTCCCCTGGGGGTTCCCCAGCTGTTAACTCCCAGCATTCTTCTGCATGTAGCCAGTCCATGACATGGCTGATGTGTAGGATGAGAGGCTGTTTCGCTCAAGGCTCAACAGCAGGGGTAGGCAACCTAAGGCCCGTGGGCTGGATCCGGCCCAATCGCCTTCTCAATCCGGCCCGCGGATGGTCTGGGAATCAGGGTGTTTTTAAATGAGTAGAATGTGTGCTTTGATTTAAAATGCATCTCTGGGTTATTTGTGGGGCATAGGAATTCGTTCATTATTTTTTTCAAAATATAGTCCGGCCCCCCACAAGGTCTGAGGGACGGTGGACTGGGCCACGGCTGAAAAAGGTTGCTGACCCCTGCTCAGCAGCATTTGGGAACTGTGCAGGTAGCTCCGCTCTTTCTCTGGTGTGGGTTTCTTCTGTCTGTGTGTTTTAAACCTTGGTATCTTCTCCTGCAGGTAATGCCTGCCCCCAGGCTCAGAGCTACAGTGTCCTAGTCACCAGCACTCTTGAACTGTCTGTTGTCTACAGGTGAGTGGAGTGTTAAAAACAATACAGCATTAAATATTAAAAACTTCCCTAAACAGGGCTGCCTTCAGATGTTTTTTCAAAATAGGATAGCTGCTTATTTCCTTGACATCTGATGGGAGGGCGTTCTACAGGGCGGGCGCCACTACCGAGAAGGCCCTGTGTCTGGTTCCCTGTAACCTCACTTCCCGCATTGAGGGAACCACCAGAAGGCCCTTGGAGCTGGACCTCAGTGTCCGGGCAGAATGATGGGGGTGGAGGCGCTCCTTCAGGTATACAGGACCAAGGCTGTTTAGGTCAGCACTAACACTTTGAATTGTGCTATTACTATTACTATTACTTCTCTTGATCAGGTCATCGGCATCTGCTGTCTCGTTATTCATATATGGCAGTAGGTGGTATCCATCTATGTTTTACTCAGCATAGGCCTATTGAAGTTAATGGACCTGCCTTAGCTGTGGTCATGAATTTCAGCGTGTCTGCTCTAAGTAAAACTTGGTTGAATACCACCCAATGTTGTTGTTTATTCCTTTCCCCCTTCCAGGAATGTGCTGCAGAGAGGCCTGGACGACCAGCTGGTCCTTCCCTTGAGTGACCAGTACGACAGCGTCCTGTGTGCCCTCGTGACCGACGTCAATTTTGACCGTGAACCAGAGATCCTCCTTGGCACCTATGGGCAGGTCAGCAGTGAGAGATCTGCCTTCACCCACCATGTTGGCTTGGATGGGTTTAGGGTCATAAGGTGCTCTTACGTAGGGTGCCTTCTCTAATCTGGCATCCTCCATAGGTTTTTGTTTATACAGTAATTGTTTCTGTGTTTTAAACCTAAACTGTGCCCCACCGTTCCTCGCTAGGGGCTGTTACCACAAAGCAGCCCATGAAAACAAAAAAAATATGAAAATTGCAAATGATAGCTCAGACTGCCACCTGCAGGACAGACTCCTACAGCCTTAAAAACCCTGTACAAACAGGCAGATCATAGAATCAAGAAATGTAAAGTTGGAAGGGAGCCAGTGTCCAACCCTGTGCAGTGCAGGAATCTCCACTAAATAATCCCTGACCGCTGGCCTTCCAACCTTGGTTAAAAAGCCTTTAGTGAAGGAGACTCCACCACCTACTGAAGGAGTCTGTTTCACTGTCAAACAGCAGTTACCCCCAGAAAATTATTCCCAGTGTTTAGTTTGAATCTCCTTTCTTGTAACTTGAAGCCATTGATTCGAGTCCTACCCTCCAGAGCTGGAGAACTTACACTTGCTCCCTCTTCCATGTGACAGCCCTTCAGATATTTGAAGATGGCTCTCTCAGTCTCCTCTTTTCCAGGCTAAACATACCCAGCTCCTTCAACCGTTACTCATCAGGCTTGGTTTCCAGACCCTTGATAAGGGGTCAGCAACCTTTTTCAGCCGTGGGCCGGTCCACCGTCCCTCAGACCATGTGGTGGGCCGGACGATATTTTTTGGGGAGAATGAACGAATTCCTATGCCCCACAAATAACCCATAGATGCATTTTAAATAAAAGCACACATTCTACTGGGACGCGGGTAGCGCTGTGGGTTAAACCACAGAGCCTAGGACTTGCTGATCAGAAGGTCGGCGGTTCGAATCCCTGCAATGGGGTGAGCTCCCATTGCTCGGTCCCTGCTCCTGCCAACCTAGCAGTTCGAAAGCACGTCAAAGTGCAAGTAGATAAATAGGAACTGCTCCTACGGGAAGGTAAACAGTGTTTCCGTGCGCTGCTCTGGTTTGCCAGAAGCGGCTTAGTCATGCTGGCCACATGACCCGGAAGCTGGACGCCGGCTCCCTCGGCCAATAAAGTGAGATGAGCGCCGCAACCCCAGAGTCGGCCACGACTGGACCTAACGGTCAGGGGTCCCTTTACCTTTTACACATTCTACTCATGTAGAAACACCAGGCAGGCCCCACAAATAACCCAGAGATGCATTTTAAATAAAAGGACACATTCTACTCATGTAAAAACACACTGATTCCCGGACCGTCCACGGGCCGGATTGAGAAGGCGATTGGGCCGCATCTGGCCCACGGGCCTTAGGTTGCCTACCCCTGCCCTTGATCATCTTGGTCACCCTCCTCTGCGTACCTTCCAGCTTGTCAACATCCTCCTTAAATTGTGGTGCCCAGAACTGGACGCAGCAGTTTGTCAGTATCCTTTAATGCTCATCGGTTGATCGCAGGAAACATAACTAGAATTCCTTGGTCTTCTAGGAGCTTTTGTGCTACAAGTACCGGGCCCCGGATGCTACAGCGGGAGTCCAGCCCTCCAGCCCGTCCGACGGGGAGTTCCACCTGCTCTGGCAGCGCACTTTCCCCAGCCCCCTCCTCTGCATGGAGTATGTCGACCTCACCTGTGACGGCCTCTGCGAACTGGCTGTGGTGTGTCTCAAAGGGCTGCATATCCTCCAGGTGAGTGTATTGGCATGGACTTTCTCAATCTTGGGTCCCCAGATCCCATCATCCCTGACCATGGGTCCTGGTACCCAGGAACGATGGTAATTGTAGTCCCAACAACTGCTGGAGACCCAAGTTCGAGAGAGGCTGCCGTACCACATCCATTTCACGTTTTCGACTGCACTTCATTTCCTTTTTCTCCAAAACACTTTGCTGTTTTCACATATTGCTGCAAGGAGGAGGGGTTTTCTCTACCCCTGTGGCAGAGTAAGGACTGCACAGTTTTCCCCTTTGTATTCCTGGAAGCAAGAAGCTTGGGTACTTCAAATATTTTAAAGGGCAGCATTCAGTGAAGAGGCCTGCCATATCCCTGAGGACTCATCCTGCCCTGGCAATGACTTCTTCCTTGCCCACTAAGCAGAGAGAATAAACACCATCTGAAAGTGCCTAATAAATTAAAGAGAAGTTATCCCAAATAACTTCCAGCCAGATTTGCATTCTTTAAATGCAGTGAGTTGGCAGGAAGCCCAGATCCACAGGTGTCAAATCTGCTTAGAGCTGCCAACTTTTGCTTCTGACACACATTTTTTTTTGGGGGGGGGAAACACCCCCCCCAACCTTCCATTTTAAAATTCAGCTTCATGTGCTGACATATCCCCCCCCCCCCCATTCAGCAAAGCCTAACATTACAAACCCGTTTTTTTTATTCCCAGTCCTAGAATGCTGGGTAGATCTGACTCAAAGTGTCACACCCCATCATTCCTGTTTGTTTATTTTTTACATTTATATCCCGCTTCTCCTCCAAGGAGCTTAAGGTGATATACAAGGTTCTCCTCCTGCTCCCCATTTTACCCTTACAACACCCGTGTGCGGAAAATTAGACTCAGAGGCAGTGACTGATTCCAAGGCCACCCAGTGAGCTTCATGGCTGGGGTGTAGATTCAAACCCAGCTCCTAGTCCAAACCCGCTCTAAGCACTATACCACACTGATTCCTTCTGGGAGCTTCCTCCTTTTTGTTGCTGAGTGGCTGGCAAGTTGCGCGGAGCCCTTTCAAGGCTTTGCTCACCTCCTTCCCGCATATTCCCTTGTGCAACGATGATTCCCTTCTCTATTCATATTTATTGCCTTTGGTGTCCCCTGAATCGTTACAAAATCATTTTATTATTATTATTATTTATTGAATTTATATACCGCTCTATACCTGGCGGTCTCAGGGCTGTTCACAGAATAAAATCAAGATATAAAACCACAAATACCTAATAAAAATACAAACAACAACTCAATAACGCCAGACGAGCTTCCCTGGGGAGAGCATTCCACAGACGGGGAGCCACTGGAGAGAAGGCCCCGTTCTCGTGTTGCCATCCTTCGGACCTCTCGATGAGGGGGCACACAGAGGAGGGCCTCAGAATAATAATAATAATAATAATAATAATAATAATAATAATAAATAATAATAATTTATACCCTGCCCATCTGGCTGGGTTTCACCAGCCACTCCAGGCTTCCAACGGAATATTAAAATACAATAACCTATTAAACATTAAAAGCTTCCCTAAACAGGGCTGCCTTCAGATGTCTTCTAAAAGTCTGGTAGTTGTTGTTCTCTTTGATATCTGGTGGGAGGGCGTTCCATAGGGCGGGTGCCACCACCGAGAAGGCCCTCTGCCTGGTTCCCTGTAACTTGGCTTCTCTCAGCAAGGGAACTGCCAGAAGGCCCTTGGCGCTGGACCTCAGTGTCCAGGCTGAACGATGGGGGTGGAGACGCTCCTTCAGGTATACTGGGCCTTTGAGGCCGTTTAGGACTTTAAAGGTCAGCGCCAATACTTTGAATTGTGCTCGGAAACGTACTGATGATCTCAGGGTCTGGGTAGGTTCATATGGGAAGAGGCGGTCCATGAAGTATTGCGGTCCTGAGCCTTCGCTTCAAGGGACCATTATTGAGGCACCTGATGAACTTGGGGATGAGCAAATTCCTTCAGAATAAAACCTTTCCTCTTGCTTCTTCCCCCACCCCCATCTTCCTTGCCCCCAACAGCACAGCCTGACGCAGACGGCAGAGTGCCTCTTAGAGCGGCTCCGGTTGAAAGTTGCCAGCCGGGCGGCCCAGCCGGCGCTTCCTGCGCATCACCAAGATGCCAAGCCTGAGGATGGCGATGGGAGAGGACCAAAGGAGTGATGGGTGTAGCTGCTGCGCCCTCTTGCCTGTTCGTTTTGCCCAGAAACCAGGGATTAGTGGCCTCCCGAGGGGACAGGACCTTCCGAGCTCTGCCATGGCACCGCAGAAGGAAACGAGGACCAAATCACTGGTTATGGTGCCGGAGTAAGGAGATGCGGGGTCCACTCACGACCCCCCAAGCAACGTTTCTCGGCTGTGTCTTGGCTTCTTGGCCCCAGGAAAGAAACCTCTTCCACGAGTCTCCTTGTGAACCGTTCTCATTCCATCTCTCTCCCCTCTCCCCCGGCACTTCTCTTAAAGGCTGGCCTGACCAAGAACTCTATAAATAGGGAATAAATTTTGTACACTAAGCAGGATCTTCTCTCTGTGTTTGTGGCGAAGGCTGGCGTTCCTAATTCAAAGAATAATAGAATTGTTCCGCTGCTAAACGACTCTTGCTGTCAGAAAGTTCTTCCTAAAGTTTGTTCGGAATCTCCTTTCTCGTCATTTGGCTTGGGCACTGTGTCTTCGGCACTCCAACGCAACATCTCTGGGTTGTGACTTGGCCATGCGGCTTAGAGCTGGGGCTGGGATCCCGGAGGCCGCACTGCTTATGAATTCCAACCACTAGCCCACACTGCCTGAAGAGTTCTGCCTTAAGCAGTCAGCTGGTGTTCGAAACTGGAGGAGAGGAAAGCTGTGCCCCGTGCCCTTCCTCCAGTCGAGGTGGACGGGAAGGGGTAGAACATCTGCTTTGCATGCAGAAGTTTCCAGTCTCCACCTCTGGCATTTCCAGTTATGGCTAGAAATAATAATAATAATAATAATAATAATAATAATATAATGATAATGATACCCCGCCCATCTGGCTGGGTTTCCCCAGCCACTCTGGCCAGCTTCCAGCAAAGTATTAAAATACAGTAGTCTGTTAAACCTTAAAAGCTTCCCTAAAGAGGGCTGCCTTCAGATGTCTTCTAAAAGTCTGGTAGTTGTTCTCTTTGACATCTGGTGGGAGGGCGTTCCACAGGGCGGGTGCCACCACCGAGAAGGCCCTCTGCCTGGTTCCCTGTAACTTGGCTTCTCTCAGCAAGGGAACTGCCAGAAGGCCCTTGGCGCTGGACCTCAGTGTCCAGGCTGAACGATGGGGGTGGAGATGCTCCTTCAGGGATACTGGACCGAGGCCGTTTAGGGCTTTCAAGGTCAGCACCAACACTTTGAATTGTGCTCGGAAATATAATGTGAGCCAGTGTAGATCTTTCAAGACCGGTGTTATGTGGTCTTGGCGGCCGCTCCCAGTCACCAGTCTAGCTGCCGCATTCTGGATTAGTTGTAGTTTCCGGGTCACCTTCAAAGGTAGCCCCACAGAGAGCATGTTGCAGTAGTCCAAGCTCTTCTTAAAATCCTGGCAAGCTGGTGTCAGTCAGAGCTGACAAGACTGAACGAGGTGGACCTGGTGGTCTGACTCCGTATCGGTGCCAGGTTACCCAGTAGGCAGACTTAAGCAAAAGCCCAAAGAAATCGAGGTTTTGTTAAAAAAGGATTTGATATTTCAAAAAGTAAGTCATCATTGAGAGAGCTCAGCTGGTACAGAATGAAACTCTTCATCTTAGGTTTTCGGTTCGAGTCCTGTGTTGAGCAAAAAGGTTCCTGCACTGCAGGAGTTTGGGCAAGGCTCTCGTTCCTTCTGTGGTTCTCTGGGAAAAATCAGTTATCAAGGGAAAAATCAGAAGACAATTACACGCTACTGCACACTCCCCATTTTCCTGTTCTTTCTTTATTACTTAATCCCCTACTGAAACCAAGGGGGGGCGCCCTACTAACGTGTATCAAAATAACTTGATGAAATAGGATCCTGTCATTTGTTGCTATAAATCTAGGGGTTTTTTTTAATTTAAAAAAATTATTTTGGAGTTTAGTATTTTTTTTAAAACTTTGACTCGCATACGGGGGCACAACCATTTTTTCAGTGTTTGGGGCCTCTAAAATGTCTTAATCCTCTGGCCCTGTTCTGTATATAGAAGCTTCCTATACATTGCGGCAACTTTCTCATCACCTTGAGCAAAGAAATGCGCTTCTCGTCATGTAGAAAAACGTCGAGTGTTGTATTTTTTCTGGGACTAGGTTCTGCTAGTGAGGACGAACAGATGGCCCAGGAGAGAGGCACGGATTAAGCTTGAATTGCAATAATTAGGAAGTGTTTTGCAGAGTCTTAGCACAGCTGGGGAAGCAGCAACAGCAGCTTCTCTCGGTCCGGGAAGCGATGTGGCATGCCTCTTTCCCTTTTTTTTAATAAGATATTTATTAAAGTTTCAGCATATTACAAAAATAAGAGAAAGAAGTAAAAAAAGAAAGAAAGAAAAACGAAAATAAAAATACAAGGTAAAAAAAACCAGTTAAAAACAAGTCAGTCTTTCCATATCTTATCTTTCATTTGCTTGTTTCCCTGACCTCCTCACACCTCCCTTTTTTGTATTCCAGTTCAATTAGTTAATTCAGCAATTCCTTTCCCTCTTTGATTTTATCTTAATCTTTTATCTTAATATATTATAACTTTAGATTATCACCTGTTAACAATCCATTTTTACATATTCCTTTATAACATTGCTGCTAAAAACCACTTAACTTCAATCCAACATCATTCTAACATTCATTAATTTTACAGTATTTCTGTAGATAGTTTTTAAATTTCTTCCAATCTTCTTCCACCGACTCTTCTCCCTGGTCTCGGATTCTGCCAGTCATTTCCGCCAGTTCCATATAGTCCATCACCTTCATCTGCCATTCTTCCAGAGTGGGTAAATCTTGTGTCTTCCAATACTTTGCTATAAGTATTCTTGCTGCTGTTGTAGCATACATAAAGAAAGTTCTGTCCTTCTTTAACACCAATTGGCCAACCATGCCCAGGAGAAAGGCCTCTGGTTTCTTCAGAAAGGTATATTTAAATACCTTTTTCATTTCATTATAAATCATCTCCCAGAAAGCCTTAATCCTTGGGCACGTCCACCAAAGGTGAAAGAATGTACCTTCAGTTTCTTTACATTTCCAACATTTATTATCGGGCAAGTGATAGATTTTTGCAAGCTTGACTGGTGTCATGTACCACCTGTAAATCATTTTCATAATATTCTCTCTTAAGGCATTACATGCCGTAAACTTCATACCTGTGGTCCATAACTGTTCCCAGTCAGCCATCATTATGTTATGTCCAACATCTTGTGCCCATTTAATCATAGCAGATTTCACGGTTTCATCCTGAGTATTCCATTTCAACAGCAAGTTATACATCTTTGACAAAATCTTGGTTTTGGGGTCTAACAGTTCTGTTTCCAATTTTGATTTTTCCACCTGGAAGCCAATTTTCTTATCCAAATTATATGCCTCCATTATCTGATAATAATGAAGCCAATCTCGCACTTTATTTTTTAGTTTTTCAAAACTCTGCAATTTCAATTTGTCTCCCTCTTGTTCCAAAATTTCCCAATATTTCGGCCATTTGGCCTCCATATTGATGGCATGCCTCTTTCCCTATGGGGTTTTGTCTGACAGGGATGGGGAAACCTCTTGTCGGCCCAATGGCCAAATTCGAAGATGGCCAACCTTCCTCCAAACACAATTCCCTCCAGTGGAAGAAAACAAAACAAAAACAGATTTGGACACGGTAAACAATACCACACTCTCCGCCAGGAATGTGTCAGGAGCTCAGCCTACACTCGAGGAGGACCCTGGCAGAGACACATGCCCGACTGGCATGTTCTCTCCCTCCTGGTCGATCGTTCGGGAGCTTCAAAAGCTTTCTTCTGCCGGAACATCACAGCGACCGATGCCAACCGACACCGGCACACTTAGGGATCTGCAGAGTCTTCGCAGTTCGCGTGACAGACCTCAGCAACTCAGCATTTTGGCTAATCTACTTTATTTACATATAAACACACACGGAGCACTGCAACATGGCTTCCTCTCTCTTTAGCATCAGACAGCAAAGAGAAAAAGAACAAAGGACAATAGTCCCACTTCATGGAACACAGTAACACAAACTTCTGTCTCTGTCACTTCCCACTCTGGAGTCAAAACATATACCGTCATGTGATAGACAACAATCCCATGACTGCAATCATGGAGCAGGAATTCTAACAGAATAATCCTGTGACCAACCAAGCCGGATGTCCACTGCTTGGCTCCAATCCTAAGTATCCCATGGGCTCCTCCAGGACAACAGACATGTGGGGCTTGGTAGGCTGTTTTGAAGAGTGTGGAGTGTGGGCCTTTGATCTGCTGCCTCCCCCACCCCAATTTTCTTGCTAACTGTGGTTTAGTAAAATACAGAGCCTTCTAGCTTGAAGCAGAGAGGCTCTGGGCACCATTTCCTCAAATCAACGGGAGGTTCTTTGGCACTGCTTTTGTGCAGATTTATATATAGCCTCTGAAATGTGCTCAGAAGAGTCTTTTGTAGACAGCGCTCATCATTTCGTTGGTACTCGTTCTCTCGCTGACGGTTCTGCTCAGTACTCAGAAGGAGGGAAGAGGAAAGCAGATCCCGCTTCATTGTCCAAAGCAGGTTAATTTCCCATCTCCTTTTAAGTTATTTTTCTGACTCTCCAAGGTCTACTGCTGAGCGAGAAGTACAGGCTTAAAAATAAACTGACATTCAGATTATGCTTTCTCAGGTGTTTCCAAACCCGGCATTTGGAAGCCGGAATCCAGGAATCAAGAGGACGCCATATTGCTCAGAAAAGAGAACTGTTTTGGTTTTTTTTTTCATTTCCCAGAAGAGGAAGAGATATTTGCTGGTATATTAGCTGGGTTTTCTGTAGTGAAGAAAGACGGGTTTCTCTTTGGAGTTCCTCTTGAAGAGAAGAGGGAGGGCTTGTTCCATTTGTTCTCAACTGGGACTGCCTGCAGGGCTTGTGTAGGGCAAGTCCCTGTATTCATTTCTCCTGCATCTTTCCTATAACCTTTTAAAAAAAATATTTCATCCCTGTGTCCGTACATATATAAGAGATAAGTGCATGGTATACATGGACATAATTATTTCATTCAGAGTAGACCCATTGTGTTGTAGCCAATGTAGTGCTAAGTTAAAGTTACTTAAAGGTAAAGGAACCCCTGACCATTAGGTCCAGTCATGGCCGACTCTGAGGTTGCAGTGCTCATCTCGCTTTATTGGCCGAGGGAGCCGGCGTACAGTTTCCAGGTCATGTGGCCAGCATGACTAAGCTGCTTCTGGCGAACCAGAGCAGTGCACAGAAACGCCGTTTACCTACCCACCAGAGTGGTACCTATTTATCTACTTGCACTTTGACATGCTTTCGAACTGCTAGGTTGGCAGAAGCAGGGACCGAGCAACGGTCGCGGGGATTCGAACCGCTGACCTTCTGATTGGCAAGTCCTAGGCTCTGTGGTTTGACCCACAGCGCCACCAGCGTCCCTTAAAGTTACTTAGCCCCCAGTAAAATGTTCTGCAGAAGCAGAATGGTGCAAGAGTACAGGTAAGCCGACTGCTGGTAACTTCATTGTGCAATAGATTGCTCCATCCACAAGCGCAACATTAACGCT